ATATATTATGTAAGAATGGTATTGTCAGGTGATAAGTATCTAACTGTTCAAGACTTTATCTCTACAAACAGAAATTCACCACCCGTTTTCGTTATATACAACTTTTTTTTTAAAATAGATATATTCTTTGTCATTTCACGACATGGCTTATATATATTTTATTTGTCCAGACATCGTGAAAGGACAAAGAATATCTATATTAAAAAAAAGGTTGCATATATATTTTATTTGTCCAGACATCGTGAAAGGACAAAGAATATCTATTTTAAAAAAAGGGTTGCATATAACGAAAACGGGTGGTGAATATATATATATATATATATTAATTTAGTATATGAACAATACGGATGGAAAATGAAATATATGAGTAGATAAATAAAACATACGGGTGTAGAATGAAACACAAGTTTACGGATAGAAAATGATATAAAAACGAATGACATAAACAAGACAGGTGTCGAATAGATTACATGTATGTACAATTAACTATCTTTCTTTTCTTACTCGTGACAAGAAGTAAGGTCTCATGTCTATCCTCGTGGGTTCATAAAAATGAAGCATTATGTTAGTCCCGATATGAGCTAGTGAGCAAGACCCTGGCATGCTATCCTGGAGGGCTCGGGTTCGCTCCCGGTGTTGGCCAAGAATATTATTCTGGGTTTTCCGTCGTGCCCCCCCCCCCCCGTTGTCTAGTCGTTCGGATGGGAAACAGCCGAAGCAAATAATGACGATGCCCGAAAAATATCTCGTTTAGAGTCCGTGGTGTGGCGGCCTGCGAAGCCGGTGTCCAAAACAAATAATGATTATTTCCGAAAACACGTCACTACATATAAACCGATATTAAATGTTCCAAATTTTAATCAATTAGTCAATTTAAAGAAATAACTATTCCCGAAAAGATGATGATTGATACCCCAAAAATGGCGAAAAACTGCTAAAGTCTGTCGACAAAATGTTTAATTCCACAGTACAAATTGGTCGTATTGTAATGCATGGTGTGATAATCTGCCAATCGCTAATATTTCCTTAAATTAACTACTGTATGACGATATATGTATATTTATGTTCCGGTATATTAAAGAATTGAAGAATCATTCGAAGTCTGTTATATCCGAAGAGAGAATTTACACCTCTAAAGTATTCAATTAAAAAAAGTGTTATATTATCACGTAAAAGCCATGGGATCAAAATAAAAAAAAACATGCCCGAAAAATGTGATTTCCTAAAAAGTTACTCGAGTTTCAGATATCTTGTTTTTACTTTTCTAGTAAAGATATACAGCCCAATTTTGATAGCGTTAGAGAATTTTGTGTGTAGATTACGAATCTGCAATCAGATGATGGGTGAGTGGTAGGGTTCGCATGCTACTTGGCCATGGAAACCAAAAACAATTTGGTGTAATTTATATTTTTTTGATTTTGTAGTGCTCCAGGTTTAACTCATTAGGTGATAATTGACAGGGAATGACCCAAAACACAGATTTTGAAAAAATCGAAAAAATATTGAGATGGCATGGGACAAGAATGGTTCTAACATATGTTAAGAGACATTAGTACAAACTATTATTCCACCAAGTTTCAGATTTTTAGGTGCTGATCTACCGGGTTCAATCGGCTCGAAAATATGAGGCAACTTTCGAAAATTGTCTGGGAATCAAGTGAAGACTGGTGCGTTTTCATATGTTTCTTATGAAGTACTACCGGCAATCTCTGGATAGGCGAAGATTTGGGTTTTTATCTATTACTTTCTAGCTTCTGGAGCACTACAAAATACAGAAAATATACAATTTCACCATTTTCTTTTCGGTTTTTATGACCAAGTAGCATGCGAACCCTGTAATCGGATTGCAGATTCGTAATCTACACAAAAAGTTCTTTAAGACAACCAAATGTAAGCTGTATATCTTAACTAGAAAGGTAAGAATAAGATATCTGAAACTCGAGTAAATTATTGATACATATTTTGTTTCGGTAACTCATGAAACTCAAATGCCCGTATCTCAGTCAATTATGACCCTTGATTGAACAAAAAATCACCTTTTTAGCTTGTGGTCCCTGTAGAGGTCACAATTTTTATCCGATTTAAAATGGTGAATATATCACCATTACACACTAAGATCTTGGTTCCTTTTGATAATCGCGGATACCCGAACTTAACTTCCTGGTTTATGGGCCCTGATTGTTCGAAAAATCGCATTTTTAGCTTGCGGGTTCTCTAGAGGTCACAATTTTTTTCCGATTTTAAAAACCGTTTAAATACATCACCATTCCACCATAATAAAGGTTGAATTCTATTTCGGGACAAAATGGCCGCTCTTTGGACGAAAATTGTATAGAAGTGTGTAATACGAAGGTTGTGGACCCTCTACAGGTCACAATTTTTATCCAATCTTTAGATCCCAAAGATCTCTGTCCATTTCGATATTCGACATTTCAGGCAATAACTTTATGGATTATTGCCCCTGATTGTACAAAAAATCGCGTTTGCTTTTAGTTTTTTCTCTATCCGTCTCTTGCAAAATGTGGGCGCATCCTGCCTGGCAGCCGCTGGTTTCCAGATCTCCAGATCAGACTATGTCTAATTTGATGGGTGGAGGTGAAAAGAATAAAAGATCAAACATTTGTAAATAGCAAAATACACAACTGTTGTACTGTGTTGTGTGCAGTTCGCGAAGAAATACTGAATGGTTCTCGAGATCGATTCCGTAAACTACATCCACTCCGAGATTAAACAGGAAACGGCACCACGTCATCATGCGACTCAATCTGATTAAAATACAGATCTATATTTCGTTTCGTTTTTTTTATACTTTCGATGGTCTACACTACATGAAGATCTGACCAGTTGTACTGGAAGGTCGCATCAGGGGTAATAGGAGCGGCTTTTGATCTATGACGTCAGACATTGATTAATCAATCAGGGTTGATGTTTCAAGTGGTTTACCCACAGTTCCGTGCATGGCACGCCAAGAAGTCGCCGTAACAGATGGTTTCATTGGCTAATCCTCACGCCATCCAGAACGCCTGTTATATAACAACTCTTCCAGATCCTAGTGTAGTACAGACAAATAAAATGAAATTTTGAACTATAAAAAACGAAACGAAATAGGATCTGTGTTTTAATCAGATTGCATGCGACCGGGTGTATGTGCAGTTTCGCTCTAAAATACTGAACAGTTTTCGAATTCTGTCCCGGAAACAAATGGGGACAGACAGGAAGACACTGTAGTAATGTTATATTCTGATGTATTCTATTATACGTTTGAATGATAAAAAGACACCCAAATCAAGTGAATTAATCACGGGAGGACTGTAAGCGTCCAATGGACTGTTCCTAGTCCATGGCCTGTATGGGAGTATTTACCAAACAGTGCATTGTATTAATCTAGTGTCAGTCGAAATCGGCTTTGAAGAAAACGACTTATAACAGGTATATCAACGAAGGTGATAAATCAGCTATTATTTCCCTGTATCATTGCAAGTTTTTCTTTAAGTTTCTGGGAACATTTTAATTATTTATAGAAATTAGCATAAGCCGTAAATGGGGCAGGTTCCGTTCCCACTGGCAGGTCAATTGTTTGCTGTCCAACTTCCAATATCACGTTGTCAATAAGATAATAGATAATGCTTTGGTTTAGGAAGCATGTTTATCGAAGTTAGCTGTGCAATTAAAGATAATGGTCATTTATAGCCAGCTTACCGCAAACGACACCAAAATGTTTTTTTTTTGTATATATTTGCACGACGGTGTGTCACGAAAAGCAATGGTGCTCAAGAAACATATTTGATGGATAAATGCATGAATTTTATATTCAGATACACATGTGCGCTACTGTTTCAGTCAAAAATCATTTCACCTTGAGTAGTACATTGTGACTTTTGTAGGTGAACTTGCGTGGATGGTAAGACCCAAATATAACTGATATAAAGTTGACTTTTTTTCACCTGCAAAAAATTTCAAGTCTTTTAAAACAGTTCACCACTTTTTGAAAAATCATAATAGTCTGCAGTCCATTAAAGTTTTCCTTGTTGTGGACGACTCTTCCCAGATGTTGACGTGGTGAACTGTTTTAAGGACTTGAAGTTTTTTAACTACCGTATATGGAAATAATCGCACAAACAGTTTTTAATATGTAAATAATATACGGGATTTTTTTCTATATATATATATATATAAACTGATTTACATTAAACCGTTTCTGTTTTTACTCTAATTTATATAAGTTATGTTCGACGAAATACGCAAAGAGATGCGATTTGTGTGCTAATTTTAAACTTTTTATTTTGTCTTAAATATTGGATATCAGAAGCCCACAAGATCACAGCATCAATGTTGATTTAAACTAACTCATAGGTAATGGCGAAGACTGTGGATGATATTGACTTAGCGACTTGACACAATATGTAAGAAACACAAAAACATAATATGGAACACAATTACTATTTTAATTAATGCGATGTTTCGTTGAGGATTTTCTCAACGTCATCAAGCAAATGATGATGAATGTAATATACAGAGGCTTTATATACAAAAACAAGTACCAACTATTAACTTGTCGAAACGTCGTGCTTTTAGAATAGACCAGTGATTGATATCCCATAAAAAATTGTGTTGTGATTAAAATGTTCCACAATCGCTAAATACTTCTTATATAAAAATAATTATTATCTCACTCTACATAAAAACACGATAATGTTCATCAATAATCAGACAAAATTGATTCTCTTAAATACTTATAGTTATTGGTTTCTCAATAATGCACCTGCTGGCCATATTACTGTTACCGTTTGAAAGAAATGACAAGTATTATATTAATTACCACGTCATGCACGACTTCAATCCCAGCTATATCCGATTTTTGTCGCATCATTAGTAACTATGGAATTCCATTAGCGCAATTCAAAATCATCACCATAGTAACATGCGTAAACACAGTCAGTTGAAAAGACGCATGCGTTGTAGCTTCAGATGGCAGTGCGGAATATGCTAGAATCGCTTAACAGTGGCACCGTACTGGAAGTTATTGACTAGATGAACTGACATTGTCGTGCACGAGAGTCAAAGTGGCAGTTGATGGTATCTTAGAATATTGCTCAATACATCCAGGAATGTTCAAAGCTCGTTCCATTTATACTAATTTCTGTTCATTAACTGCGGACACATATTCTGTGAATTATATCAGGAACTTATATCTTTAGTTGACAAGATGGGAAACGGGTCTTCTATAGAATCGTCTAAGACAATATTCCTGGATATAAACGATAAAGAAGAGAAGGTCAGTATTTTGGTATTTTTATCCCGCTGTATTACAGATACATCAACTGTCTCGTTAAATATAGATTTAAAACATCTTTTTAAAAAAATGAATCATAATATAAGACATTATTTGTTATTAGTTTATCATATGCCCGTGTGTCGTTATATCGTCTTCGTATTGATATTCATGGTTAGCGATCGGTTTTATAGAGCACGCGTTCATAAAAGTAATTTTGATATTATTATATCTTTATGAGATGTGTTTGTTCATTTTTAATTAGAAAAATAATTTAGTTTATCATGTTGTAGACCTATGATGATGCTGATACCAACAGCCAATATTAATTATTAAATTGTTAAAGATAAAATAGATAAATCATAACAACCGCTTACATCTTATGACGGCCTAGAAGGGGGTGTTTATAACAACATAAATCGGTACATTATTGACCTCCGTCATGGTGACATCAAGACTAAAGGACCCTAACCTAAACTAATTCTAGCGGACGCTTTAAATGCAGGGACAGTCGATATAAATCCACACCCCCAAAAAAACATATTTAAAGATATTATGGATAACTAGACTGCTATGATATTGGATCATAGGCCAGATTGTTTTGTATTTTTGGAAATCTCGGTTTTACGAATTTTATACGATATTCATTTTGTCAAAGATCAAAACAATAGAAATTGAGATGTTGATAAAACTCAAGGAAAATGAATTATTTTAAAGAATAATTTAGTGATTTGTATATTTTTACGATATATAAGATGACTATTGTCTCAGGATATAACGGAAATGCTGTAACTGCTAATGTGAAAATAATTAACACGAAAATACTTAGCCACCGAGAAATGGCATCTGTTTCCTTTAGTTATATAAAAGGCCTGTGGTCTATTGAAATTCATATTTATCAGGTCATGAACGACATCGGAAACATCCGCATAACCTTGTTAGAAAGCTGCAGGAATTATTCCAGACACATAGTAATTGTCATGATCATTAATATAGAAATGTGGTTATCCAAATTTAACTACCCACGAGGAAGCCATTAGAGTGCGTCTCACAAGCCAGAGAATCCTTTACGGTTTCTTATATTATGAATTAAGTCTTCTTATGGAGAGAGTAACATCATGGTAATAACCTTTCAAATACAGACACTTGCTCAGATTAATAAACTGCGAAATTAAGCAACAAGAATCGCAAGTCGTAACCATGGTTATATTTAAACTACAAATAGATATCAAAACAGTGTATACATTTAAAACATTTCACATTAAAGTAACCATAAACCTATACAAACTAAAATAGTTCCTTATCTAATCTGCCATAATACCCCTTTAATTTTTAAATTTTAATAGTTTTAGCTCCGGTACTTGTAATAGTCTTTACTGGAAACAAACATTATCTTGCCTCAACTATTTAACAATTGGAGTTTTTAAAGATTGCATTTAAAGGGGAAGACCAACGATTTTCAATAAGGTTTCCATAAATAATAAATATATATTTAGAAATAATCCCTTCTATAACATATGCAAAAAATAATTTGCAAGCGAGAAATTAATTTTTATTAATACCGGAAGTGACGTAGTTGGTTCGACACGCTCACTGGTCACTATAGTAAACATACAAGTTTGGAGCAAGTTTAGCGCTGTATTTTGTGATCGTTTCGCCGTTTGGCAGAAAATCTGATGAAAGGTAATCTTTATTGCGATATTAAGAACAAGAACTTACGGTGTTTTGAAGGTATAATATACAACGCGTTTGTGTAAATTAAGTTTCTAAACTGGACACTGTGACACAATTTAAGCCACATGGCTAATTGTTTACATCACGTGATAGCTGGCACGTGACAGATATTAACCGAACACAAATTGGCGACCTATTCGGCTAGCGACCTATTCGACCGATCCAGCTGGCAACCTGTTCGTTGGCAACCTATTCAGAATGAGAGCGCACCCCTTTAATATGATTGTGCCAACTTTTACTAATAATATTTCGAAAGCTTATTTAATCAGCTTTCGGAATATATTTAGTTGGATGTCCAGAATTTTGTAAGATAATGCGAAATTACATCTCTATTCTGAGCTAAAGGAATGGATAAATGATAATATATTCTACTTTCATTTGATAGACGTTACGTTGGATCTTATTGGTTGATAAAAATAGATGGGTTTGGGCGACTGTTGAATTTATTCTGAATAGGTTGCCAACGAACAGGTTGCCAGCTGGATCGGTCGAATAGGTCGCTAGCCGAATAGGTCGCCAATTTGTGTTCGGTTAATATCTGTCACGTGCCAGCTATCACGTGATGTAAACAATTAGCCATGTGGCTTAAATTGTGTCACAGTGTCCGGTTTAGAAACTTAATTTACACAAACGCGTTGTATATTATACCTTCAAAACACCGTAAGTTCTTGTTCTTAATATCCTAATAAAGATTACCTTTCATCAGATTTTCTGCCAAACGGCGAAACGATCACAAAATACAGCGCTAAACTTACTCCAAATTTGTATGTTTACTATAGTGACCAGTGAGCGTGTCGAACCAACTACGTCACTTCCGGTATCAATAAAAATTAATTTCTCGCTTACAAATTATTTTTTGCATATGTTATAGGAGGGATTATTTCTGAATATATATTTATTATTTATGGAAACCTTATTGAAAATCGTTGGTCTTCCCCTTTAAGAAATAGAGGGGCTTGTAGAATCCAAGAAGTTTGAAGATGACCATCTAATATTTTAACCCCATCTAAACACTCGACGTGTTTTGTTTTATTTTATTATTAATTAATAATACTATTGCCACTTGAAACAAACAACAGTTCGCCGAATACTTTGTTTTGTTAGTATTTTATTTTTAACTTGATGTCTATCTGGGTAAAAAGTCGATATTTACCAAATCAATAATAATGTATACAAATCAATCAATATCGTTATATAAATGGGTTATGGAAAATAAATGGTACTGGTATCGCAAACATATCAGCTTTATAATAACATAGGAACTGTTAACCAAATCTCACCAAATGCGATAATTATAACAGATTGTAAATGACAACCAGATGATTATATTTGGTAAATAATAAATCAGTGTAAATTGTGGTGTAAACAGTTTAATTTGTCTTTAACTGAATGTAAATTTGATTTTTAATGTACGTATCGGGGATCGTATCTGATATTTGATGACATAATGGACAAATTCTTTTTGGATTTAAATAGTGTGTCCATACGAAACTTATGCAGTCTGTCAACAATTAGTTCCGATTGAGAACATACACGATGTAAGTTGGCCGACATTTTAATTCCCGTATCGACGATTTTAGTCGAAAATTTTGAAAATATTTTTATGATGCTTCCTTTATTTAGTTTTCGTGTGTATGAAACTGATTAGAACCGCGTGACAAAATGGTACACGAATTATTCAAATAGCGGCCATTCTGAACAGAGATCTATTCTGAAGTAGATAGAACTCTGTGTGTAGAATGTAAGTCGGGAACCTAAATGTTTAAGACACGTTTATCATTCGTAGTGTATAATTTGATAGGATGATCAAATGAAAATTAAAGTCTAAACTTTAAATTTGTCGTTCAATCTCTAAATAAGTCAAACCTTCTAATATGATATGTTATTATTAAAAAGTGTCATTCAGAAGAAAGGCTCCTAATTACATGTCGATGAAAACCACAAATTCTCCATTTGGTATAGGCAGTTACTTCAAAACACTAATGGCCGTCATTTACCCTTCCACCACGTTCAATCGATTCCTAATAATTCGTTGGATTTGTCTAGACGATGCTCTCGGGAAAACCACCAACGAGTCTTATCAGAAGTAGACACCCGTTATGTAGGACCATTTTCTAAAACTTGAGTGTACTTAATCAAATGTCCTGCGGTTGAAATGTGTCTTTAATTAGATGAAACGAGACACTTAGAGGGTGTGATTATAAATTTACATTAACAAATTGAATGATTTTATTGATCGTGATCAATATGACTATAGATGTGCATGATTGTATAGAAACTCTTCTTTACCCACTTTTACATCACTACTGTGTATTTTCAACTTTAATTTCTGAATGTCAATTATTGCTTACAGATGTATTGGTTGAAGCGTATCTTCTTTTCTCTACAAATAAAGTTAGCTTTCTATCGTTCAATAATATGAATATAAAACACTCCATTTTATTTTTTAATAACCATTTCGTAATCGGGAAAATGAAAAATGAGAAAACCTCAACTGAGCATGCAGCTCTGATTAATTTTTTTGATTTTTTATATTTTCCATAATTAGTTTAAAGGGACCATCCCGATTGTAACAGAGTTTCAGAAATAAATGTCCATGTACGTATGAAATTTAAGCGCCAAAATATAGAGGAATGGTATATTTACCGTGTCTCAAAATTTCAGCTCAAAACCGCTTTTCCGGACACGCAACCCTTTTAAGATTTCGGGTCAATTTTTTCGTTGGGTGACCTGATAGTCTATTTCGGTTCTTTGTTGTACTTAATAACGAATGGTAAATTTCACCTACACGTTATTTTTATAAAATAAAAGTCTGGTTTTATCCGGACAGCTTGTGACATTTCCAAATGAAGACTGATGGGTTTAAGTTGTTTGAAAATGTGTCACGTATATTGAGTTAGTTGCTCGACCCTAAGGTAGAGTATTTGAAGGGATTTTCACACAAAATTAAGCAGTTTTATCGTTTTATTCCCCAAAATATAATCGAGATTGGCCCTTTAATGATATTATTTGTGTGTAAGGAGGTAACAGAATATGTAATTCATTATTTCTATAATGACCATGTAAATAAATTCAACCGACATTCTATACTTTTTATTCTATCGATATTTAATTGCCGAACACATTAGTACTGATACGTAGGTCAATATTTAATGATGTGGAAATCGCATCTCAAGTCCCGATCCGTCTGTTTACATATATAGATTAGAATTGTGATTTCCGTTCTCGGGTTATGGTTTAATGAAATTTATATAAGTCGGTCAACGGGAATTTCCCAACCAAACTTTTACATTTTAATTTTGATGACTTGACAACTACACGTTGACAAGGGCACCATATACACATTGCTACTCCCAAATGAATTAAATGATTTCGGTAAAATTTTGTATTATGGTACCGAATTTCATTAATATCTTAATAGTACATTGGAAATAATTGTAGAGATATGTGGTAACATACCGGATCTGATGACAATAATAATGTGATAGATGTTTTGTTTTCTAGTAACTTTGGATTGCTAAACTGATATTTTGTTAATTATTTATGAGTATTTCTATCGTGATGTTTATCAAAGATAATAATATATGGTAAATGTGATGGTTATATAATATGTTAAAATAGTGTGGAACCAATTTGATGACCACATCTCCGGGGACCTATTCTCATTAGACCGTGACTACTTTACTCCTAATGCTACTTCTTATCTCTGTATCGACAAATATGGTGATATCGTTGAGAAGCAATCAATACGTCATAATAACCATATTATTATGTATTAAAATACAATGACCCATAATATTATATAGTCTGTAGAACAATATGTATTAAATACCACTGTCATTATCATCATTACCATTTTATATAATTTGTATTTAAATATAACTATCCCGAGTTTTTATGTACACATCGGCATGTACGTAAGAGAACCTTTGACAGTTGGAATTCGAGTAGACCGTAGCGCCGATATACGGGCAAAATTTCCCTCATAGCACGATGTATGCCCGTCGGTGAAGAACAGTAGGACGCTAAACCCTATTTCATTTTATTTCACTTCATAATATTTATGTAATATAGCATGTATTAAAATATAACAACACTTCCTGCATTATTAAATATGACTATTATTCTTTATAACAATAATATAATCATATAATCTATATTAAATTCAAATATATCTTTCTCCACAACAACATTATACCTGTATTAAAACAACCCGACATTTTATATTAAACAGTCGGTGTCCTTTTTATTATATTATATAAAGTCTATCAACAAAATACAACATATATAAAGTTGAATACAAACACTGTAAAGTACTGAATGTAGGTACTGGGATCTGTAAAGTACTGAATGTAGGTCCTGGGATCTGTAAAGTACTGAATGTAGGTCCTGGGATCTGTAAAGTACTGAATGTAGGTCCTGGGATCTGTAAAGTACTGAATGTAGGTACTGGGATCTGTAAAGTACTGAATGTAGGTCCTGGGTTCTGCAACGAAAATAAAATAATCTTACATTAAAGATACATTATTTAATATTTTAATAAAGAGTTGGTCATTCTTGATATGACAGTTCAAAAATAGATGATAAAAAAAAGAAAATATTAAAAATTACTCTATCGTTTGATTGACAGACGATAACCTCGCCCACATATTCTGGATTACCAAGTAACATTCTCAATGCCTACGGTACCCTTCAATTATCAGTTCTTTCATCGGCAGTCTCCTGAAGTGATGTCAGTGATTAACGGTAAATGTTAGCTTGGTCAGCCTTTTAATGATTTAATTATTAAATGGACGACTGTTTAAATACAAGCTGTTTCCAAAGTTGACCGAGTTGATTTTGGTCCTGCTATGTAAACAAAGATCAAATTAATAATTTCTATAACACTTGAAGCCCATAGAAAGACTTCCAATAGGCATATTTAGCTCTTAACTAATAAAATGTGAATAAATGTATTTTTATGTATATTTCAGATTGTGTTTAGTCGTCACTGTAGTTCAAGGGACATTCATGAATTAATTGCAACAATAGCAGCAGTAAACAGGTACTTTTAAATAGTTAACATGTGAAACTTATTATTGAACTTCAGATGGTTGTACCCAACGCCCCTTGGCGAATTTTGTACTTTTACAACAACGCCTAAATGTGAATACAACATCGTGGCTGCGAGATAGTAGCTAAAACCTTTGAGATATACTGATGTGTTTGTTTTTAGCTACTATTGGATGCCTTTAGTTTCACCTGGCAAACTTAATTTCTTTATTAATGCAACAACATTTTAAAAATAAGATAATTTTAAACTACTGCCACTAATTAAACATACCCGGTCCAATATAGTGACACAACTTTTACTTATCTGCAAATATTGTCAGTAAAGTTAAGCAAGCCGCGTTTTAAACAAAATTTGATCGGCTATTCATAATTACGGTGCATTAGTCATGCACGACCAATAATTTTACTCTTCTTGTGTTTTTAAGTCGCGTATTTTAATTGGCTGTTGTACACCTTCATGACGTTAAGACGTCAAATCTATTCCGTTATAAAATGTCGGGTAAAGCCAGCTTTTAACGCTTTGATTTAAAAGAGATGATTTGCATCCTGGTCAGGTAAGATAACATTCTTAATTGTATAAATAACAATAATCAATCGTTGTTTCGAAGAAAAAAATATGACAATTTTGCTTATTAAAGTACTATGTGATCCACATCGGATTGTGCCAGAAGGAACTATATAGTACCACCTCTATCTGTTTGAACGCAGGGTATAGAGATGATGTTTCTTCCGTATTAATCCTTTACACAGAATTAAACACGTTTTATACATCTGATACAGCTAGGCGGAAATAGAGCAAATCTATTAAAAGAGAAATGTCATATATTCAATAAAATCTTCGTTTGCTATATTTCACCCAATGATTGGTCTGATCCTAGTCATCGATCATACTTCGGCAACATAAACATTTTTCCTGGTTGATGTCATGATGAGAAATTGTTCATTTTACCAGAAAATTTCGACTGAACTGTATAGTCTGGAGGCTCAGCACGGGGAGGTGTCCATCAAATGGGCACAAAACCAGACCCAACTTTTCTAGAGTACAATTTTGCGCAGAATACGATGCCGGGTGGTAATCAGTCCGCCGTTGGGTCGTTTTCGAGATATTCGGGGTCTGCTTTTGTGCCCATTTGATGAACACCCCCGCGCATTGAGCCTCCGGTGTGGTAGACTAGTCGCAGATATGGCCTTTAAAAACTGAAGACTAAGTAGGTCAGAGAAATATTAAAGCATATTATATGTACTATTGTTCCTCCGACATCATAAACTTTTAGAGTGATTTAGCAACTGGATAGAGCAATACGTATTTGTTTTAGTTTATTAATTTCATATCGGTTAGACTTTAGTGTTAATTGCGTATGTACATGACAAGAGGTCGCCATTTATGTCAGACAGTGATGAAATAGTATGTATAAAGGTAGGTAAGACTGGCATATTTATTCCAGTATATACATACAGGTAGCCCAGGGAATAAACCCATCTCGAAGATTAGTTGTCGGTGGGAAATATATAGTCAAACTGGTTTTCCCATTTTTGTAGGGATAAAATAAAGATCAGCAAGATACTCAATGGTTATCCATGTTAAACCTGGTTTCCCCTGTCATCAGACTCCCGAGCAGCACTGGGAGAATAAACCCATTTCGGGAATGTAGGAAAATGTCAAACTGGGTTTTCATCATTTTGCCTCCAGACGATAATGAAATGAAATGGGGTTTAACTTCCTACTTTCTGCTGCGACAGGGCTAATGAAGAAGGACCAGACTATAAACAAGATAAACAATGGCTATCCATTTTAAACTGGGCTTAATTTGTCGTCAAAGTGGTTCAGAGGTCTGGGACTATTCTACCTTCATAGTTTCGGTCTAATTACTGAATTAAATATGGGATGTAAGTGTTGATGCGACGTAGCGCTCTGTCTGGCTAGTAGGAGATTCCCAATTCTAGGTATGACTGCGATACGAAATCATATTATGTATATAGTTCTTTTCCAATCATCTGCTACCAGAAATAATAAATCTCCGTATGATTCTATTTGACATTAAAAGAGAAATATAATCCATCATGGTTTTTTTTATAATTACAAGAATATTCTGAACCCAGTGCTGATTTTATCAACAGCGATTAATAGTTAATGAAATAATTAACATCATGGCAACAGTTTATTCAAACAACTTAATATCTAAAAATTGTTTGGAATATTAATTTTGAAGATTTCTTTATAAAATTCAAACATTATTGATGATAGAAGTCGGTGAGAATCTTCGATACACCCTTTCGCGTATTGTAGGCGTTTTGAGAAACAAAACGTATTATGTTTTACATCCTATATACTGTAATTTAGATTAAAAGTATGATACTACAGTAATAAGATATTATCGTGAATTCCACAGTTCTCATTAGCCATTATAACAGCACTATTACTCTAAGAATTGTGACGTCTCCATGCTTAGGGCTGTAGTGTAAATGAATTATGTCGTGGTGCCATACAGTAAATTGACGTTTGTTATTGACGTTCGGTCAGTATAAAGTGGAATTATCCCTGAAACTGGACATCTCCTAACCAAGTCTGACCAGTAGTTGAACTGGGATTACAGATTAGAACTAAGCATGTATTGATTATTATTATTTTATACTATATGGTTACTGTATAGTGATGGTTCAATGCTCGTTAATATAAGTAATCGATGACACCTTAACATTGCGTCCGGTTAATTTAATAAAATTGTTTATTGGAAAATTACTTGATAATAAATTCCTGTACACAACAAATACAACTGTTACCATAGAAACATGTAGTATATTAGCAGTGCTAGTGACATATTACACCCCATAATTACTAATCATTGTATAAGACAATGAAAGCAATAGATTTATTGTAAAAATATCAAAATTCGATACTTGGCATAAATTTCGTTTTTCAAGTAATGGAAGGATCAGATTATTCACGCGTTTCCAAATCTAATGCATTAAGTTCTTTTAGCTCCTGTTACTACCAATAAATACCATTACACTTCATTAATACTACCGTTCTTTTATATTTCAACGTGTTCACTAAGTCCATTAGTGACACGTCGCCGACAGCCACATATAAAAACCTGACGGTATTATAGAGATGAAATAAAAAAAGGTGATGTGGGTGGGGGGTGGGTTGTAATGAAGACGAATATGCGCCACGCTATGGGGGGAAATTTTACCCAGACAGCGGCCTCCTATTAATTCGAATTCAAGCTGTCAAGGGTCCATTTTCCTGCACGCCAACATGTACACGATTTTTGTGTCCCATCCGGACGACTAGACGTTGTTCCATGACAAGCCCTCTGTCCCATATCATTGACAAGGTGGCCGTACTTATGAAGCAGATTTCACAATGAGACGACTGTTTAAAGAGACGTTGAAATATTCACCAGTTTGTAGAAGAATACGCCCTTGTGTCATTTAAATGTATTTAAAGATGCCTTGTCGCGTACAAATTGTGTGATTTGATGGTATATTTTGACTAAAAACATATTCATATTAATTTTTCTATCACAAATGTGCTTCCAATCCATTTTAATCGCAAGAAAACTACCTCATATTGGAAGAATCTATTTTAAGCGACCTTGATTGAGTGGAAATCCATTGATAGCTTGTATTTGTCGTTACTCGCTGTATACAATTAATATCGAAGCCTAAGGAAGTTCTTGGATTATCCTCTGCTATCTTCTATTTCCGTCGTTTAATCACAATCAACTGAATGTTTATTTCCAGGGTTGGATTAACCTAGCTGAAAAGCAAAATAAGCACGTGCAAAATATGCCATAATTTTATCGGAAATAAATACTTCCGTGCTACATTGTTTTCAAGAAAACATCAATAAACAACCCAATCTAACCCAACCTTGGCTCGAGATTTCATACTTTTTATAATAATCAATCTTCGATTTAATAGGATATTATGGATTATGTATATATTATAGTATCAAGGTAATCAAAGTTTTATATGGCAATAACCAGAGTCGACAGTCACCAATTCCATATTATCGTTACAGCACAGTGTAGCGGGCGTGGGGGGCTTTTAATTTGGATTTCATAAATAAAGGTGTATCATTCGTTCGTGGGACTTAGCGCCCGCTTCCACTGAGGGTTGGTATCGCAGATGCGTCAAATCTTGGTCAGTTCATACGGCTAGTGTAAAAACGGGGAATGCTCACTAGTCCGCGGGTTCATTAGTCCACCGATATCTATTATTAGGGGCTGGGTTAGGGTTAGGGTTAAGGTGCGCTATAGTCCGCGGGTTCATTAGTCCCACCGATATCTATTTTTAGGGGTTGGGTTGGGTTAGGGTTAGGGTTAAGGTGCGCTATAGTCCGCGGGTTCATTCGTCCACCGATATCTATTATTAGGGTTAGGGTTCGGATTAGGTTTTTTGATACCAAAATTTATAGTATTTCTTATAGCTGCGGACTAGTGAACCCGCGGACTAGTGAACCCCTCTCGTAAAAACCCAGTGGCTGTGTAATGTCTGAGACGCATATCGCAAAAAAGGACATTAGATAGTTATAACTGGAGTGTGTGCGCTTTACAAATGTATTACATTATTTATTATAGATAAAAAATAATATTTCAACTTGTAGTAATTGTTGAGAGATAATCAATAAATATATTGAATACATCAATAGATCATCTTGATTATCTCTTGTTTTACAGGCACTCCACAATTTCTATTAAAGATGAAAATGGCGCGCACATATCTCTGTCACCAACTATGCCAGCAAATAACCAAGGGTGAGTATTATTTTGAATTCCTGTTATTACCCGTAGCCGAGCATTAACCATACCATATTCTAAAGCACATTTATAACATTTATATACTCAAATTACTCTCAATTACTACAATCACTATACACTCCAATCACTATACACTCCAATCTGACCACACAAAGTTACCGCATTATATGGAAACCTGGGCCAAAACTAAAGAGATAGGAATAACTTGTTTGTTGATACACCATTTTAAAGAATCACCTTTGTTTCTTTTTGATGGAGAAGAGAATATAAATATTTTTTTCGGTAAATAAAAAAAACAACCCCGACCTGAATTACGATTTATCACATTCTACAGTAGAGATACTGCAATATACCCACGGAAGCGTAGATATCTCCTTAGGAGATTTGTCAATCAAAAAGAAACTACTTTTTTGTATTTTCAAAGCATAATTCATTTTTTTTTAATTAAAAGTAACTTCTTTTTTATCAGAAAAGAACTACTTTATTTAATCGACCTTGATGGAAACATTGGGTCAATATAAAGGATGAATTGCTGTCAAAAAATGATGTATCATTACGCATTAATGTAGTCAGGTTCAGTAAAAGTGAAATCTATCGCAAAGAATTATATTTATTTATTTGTGCATGTAAGAAAGGATTGGGTGATAAATAAAATCTTTTTTGATATCAAGGGTTAGGGTTAGGGATATCAAAAAAGACTCGTAGAAAATTCTCTATTTATTGAATCGTGAGACTGTTTCTTTAATCGTCCGTTTCGTTGTGTTTAATGGTGGTCTACTAAAAGTTGAGTATTTAAAGCGGAAATTGCAAATTTTTAAGTTATATTTTTAAGATTTATTAAAATAAATGGTATCCATAAACAGTCCTACCTTGTTAAAGAATAATCCTATTAATCCTATAATTCACTATTGCCAGCTGAGAAATTGGCAAAAATATCATTTTCCTCTTCATTTTCAAACGTTTGAATATCGCTACTCCATGGTGGAGAATAGAAAACAAGGTAGGTAATTGGGAGGTAATTGTGTTATTATTTCCTGTGTAAATGAATCTTAAGTGTGAGAATGACACCTATGATCGTATAATTGTGAGTTGACAACCTATTGAGCAAAAGACATAGAAATAATTACGTTTTGACCTTCTTAGAAAATTTGCAATTTCCGCTTTAACATGGATATTTCCTAACAGCTTGCTGAAGATGTTAAAACTGCTTCACAGTGTACTTCTTAAATTTTCTGGAATGTCCGTTTGAAATGTAGTTTAGACTGATACGCTTGCGTGATTTTGAGCGAATAAATTTTGTTTGACCTGAATTATAATTTTCGTGAAACATTATACTCTGAAAAATATTAAACCGATAAACATTCTTGAATTTCAGTTAATTCACTAAAAAGTCTCTAATTAGGTGTTTGTATTATATAAATGATACGATATTGTTTCTTTTACATGAAAAGACTTTTAGCACATAAAATAAAATACCGGAAGAACTATTTGACTGTCTGTTGAAAAGGCGATCATCTACACCTATATGCCCATGAATATATTTATGGTGGTTGTTATTTTATGTATATTTAGTAGGTTGGATAATCAAGACTACACCTATATGCCCATGAATATATTTATGGTGGTTGTTATTTTATGTATATTTAGTAGGTTGGATAATCAAGACTTCATAGAAAATTTGAAGCGCGGTCAAATTCAAATGTATATGAGCACTCGGTGGGTTCGCGCCAGACCATTTGTTATGGCCAAAGTACAAGATGCCCCCGTACGGAAAATTTTTGCCCACCTAGGGAAGCTAATGCTTTCAAAGTGCGGGTACATGATTCGTCATTTAGAGGGTCAAAATGTCAAAATTTTCTCGGGAAGTAACTCATGACCCCCCCCCCCCCGAGCTAACACTGGGAAAGACCCTCCCACGACCACCTTATCATGCCCCTGCAGTTGCAAAACCTTAAAAAGTGGCCTGGTTCGCGCAAATTGGATTGTATGCACACCCATAGCTGCGATACAATCGTACACAACTTATTCTTTGTGAAAGTGCACTGTAAAAAAATATCCATTTTTTATGTGGCCAAATTCCGTAGTTTAACACTTTTTTCTGTTAATCGATGACTTTTTTTGGGAGAAATTGTGTTAAAAGTGAGAATTATTTCTTCAAATTACGTGTTTTATGTATTTCTATGGGATATTCAGTTTTAAACAGGAAATTTACGTGAAATGTAGGGATAAAATGTTTTATTCCCTTCTAGAATGGACTTAATTCTGTTATTTTACGGAATAAACGGTGAAATGACCAGGAATTTCCGTGAAATTTAGGGATAACATGTTTTATTCCATTCTACATTGAACTTAATTCTGTTATTTTACGGGATAAACGGTGGAATGACCAGGAATTTACGGATTATTTCTGTTTGTAAATGCAACTATAAGTAATCGTATACATATATTATCATTCCTAATAATTATCATGTTATAGTATTCATTTGAATTTATTAACCATAATATGAAGAATCATATTTTGTAAATTTCGGTATATTACATGTCATGTATATCTAATTTCCATTATTTATAAGATCTATAAAGTACATTGTTATTCATCATACGTTAATCACGTTGTAAGTATTTTAATAAATGTATAAAAATATGTTTGAACGCTCCGTGTGTATAGGTGTATTATCTGGTAACCAAGCACGCTTAAATCCGGATAGTATAACCGATTGGCCAGTGTAAGCCGGTTTGTCTCTATGGCTGAGTTTACATACCTGCAAATTGATAGAACCGCAAGCTTACATCTGAAAGCATCTAACCGGTCCAATCCATGATGAGTAGGGGTTTGTGATACCTTGCGCTCGTCTCCAGATCAGGATATTCCGTACTCATATATTAGCGGAAAGAGGTTGCGTATAAAGATTGCCTGCGATTTCACACACCCCTATGAAGGCAATGGTTAATTCAATAAAATTTTTATCACTTTCATGCCAACGAAACAAAAATTACTAGGATTTTGTTTTTCTGTATTTGAAGATAGAATTTATGTTAATTGAAGGAATTTCTGTAAATTACAGGGAAAACAAATACGGATAAAATTTTCTTGGTAATTTTTTACGTTTTTTCACGGACTTTTTTGTTACAGTGTGTTAATGTTACCATGTTTAAGATATTGATAAAACCACATCCTGTAGATCATTAAAACTCATTATGTTTTAGTCAATTGATTCAACTAATTAGTTTCGTTATTTTCTATATTTTTTTCATTAATTTGATTTTTTGTATTCCTATCGATCAGCGGGCTAATGTTTTAACAACTTCATAATTGTTGGCCTATAGTCTAATTTGGTATATTATTATATTCTTTATTTACTGATATTGTCGTCAACCCTGTCCCTCTGCCCAACTCTACGTTGTCAGGCTAAATTAATCACATCGCTGACTTTACATTTATAAACGATGATTACTTTTATGACAAGCATATTGATTTTCAGCAATTTCCGATAACATTGTTGGCGTTATCGCCCTTGATCAATTTAAAAAGTCACCTGAAATAATGGTCAAAGCCAGTTTTAGTCTTTCTCCCCTTTTCCCCCCTTTGCATGGAGTTCTTTGTTGACTTATTGGTGTAGAGTTGAAGAAAAGGGTTTGAATATACATTTTCTGCCAGGTTGTGGTGAATATTCATGATTCATGATTTTTAGACGGAAGGATACAACAGTTAAGAGGTTGGTTAGTTAGGTTGAAATGTAGGGTGGAAAATTGCATGTATACCTGTGTCTACTTCCAGTTTGTGTATGATGAACCGCATATGTGCTTTTGAGCAAGAGGGAGGGCCGTCACAAGCCTGTGGCATACTGCAATTGCTTTGTTCTGCCTGCGCTCAGTTGATTTTTTTTATGATTAAAGAAATCTTAAAATACAATTTTTATACTTTTAACACTTTATCTAAATAACTATTCATTATTTCCACTTCAACTCTCCATGTGATCGAAAAACCCTTTAATATATGTTGGAAAAATCATAGTTCTACCCTCTGTGCTGAAATATGAACTGGTTTACACAGGTTATGGGGAAGCGAAGACCGGTGATTTGCTATCTCAGCCCCCCCAAGAAGTGTCGCCCCCCCCCCCTCAGCCACCCCCCCCCCCTTCCTATGTGAGGGCCCTGGCAATAGGTTGCCACATGTTGCTCCATTTGGGAAAGAGGTAGAGCCGGTCTAAGAGACGAGAATTAACATTAAAGAGTCAATGGGGAAATTATTGGTGACATGTGACCATTTCTACATTTCTATCCACTGTTTATAATGGACGAGTCCTGTTTTATTTTCAGTGCTTAGTTGAAGTCTGTACTTAAAATAGCTTTTACTTGTTTTGTTTTATGAATTCTTTGAATAATTGGAATATTGCTTTGTGTAATATTATAGAATTTTTTTTTCTTCTGAAAATTTATAGACTTCCCTAATTAATGTTAAATGTCACTTTAGAACTTGCCATTTTATAGGATAACTCACCAAGAAGCTATAATGAACGTCATTAAAGCTTCTTCTAACTCACCATCATTATGAGGGATTTTATTGATGTTTTTTTAATAACTTTATAGCTTTTGTGGAATTTCCGCATTTAGCACTCCCTATCCTTTCCTTAATGATACCGCATCATTTTAATGGTTGAACACTAATTATATTACATAGGTTTGATTGTATTTTATAAGTTCTATAATGATCAGTACAGTTGATCGATTAATATATCGATTAGTTGTCAAACGAATCTTATTTACCATGTTTTATATTGTATGTTAAATACAGACAGTGAACAGATTTGATCCCCACGCAATATTTTATCCCAGGAATTTAGTTATTTTATTTTAGTGGCAATTGACGGGTAAATGATTAGAGTAGACTATACTTCTTTTTAAGGATCAATTTAGACTGTTGCAGGATTGAAAGCTTTGTTAGATCAGTCACGGTCAACAAAAATATATACTATAGGTATACAGAGAATCCAGCATTACCTTAAAACACATCTTAACCTAAGATAATTCCATAAAAATCATTTAACTCTTTGTCTACAAGACGAAATAAACCACAGAACACACTTCTATTTAATCAATTTAATTAATGTAGACTATAAAAACGATTTGTAGTAAATTATATTAAAAACGATTTGTAGTAAATTATATTAAAAACGATTTGTAGTAAATTATATTAAAAACGATTTGTAGTAAATTATATTAAAAACGATTTGTAGTAAATTATATTAAAAAAATTAAAACGATTTGTAGTAAATTATATTAAAAACGATTTGTAGTAAATTATATTAAAAACGATTTGTAGTAAATTATATTAAAAACGATTTGTAGTAAATTATATTAAAAACGATTTGTAGTAAATTATATAAAAAAAACGATTTGTAGTAAATTATATTAAAAACGATTTGTAGTAAATTATATTAAAAAAACGATTTGTAGTAAATTATATTAAAAAAATTAATACGAAACAAATTGACTTGAACATGATGGGTGTTGTTTTTGTGGGGATTTCTTGTAGTCACTTGGCGTATCTATACATATTCACCTTGTCCCGGGTTCACAAAACACACACACCCTCTCCCTCTCTCTCTCTCTCTTACGAGAACCAACCGATTTGAATACCAACTCGAGACCTACATCATGGGCAATCAAAACCGATTTGTTTTCTCGTAAAAACGCCTATTTGGGTTTGGTTAGGTTATCCACAAAATTATTTTTATGTTTAAAAATTCTTGCTGAAGTGGATGGGGGTTGGACAGGAACGTACCTACTGGCGGTAAAGGCGTTATTTATTGTCAATAAGAAAAAGATAGAAAAAAGTTATTGTTGAAATCTTTATTTTCATCATTACTTTAATCAGCAACATTAAAAAGACAGTTCAAACAAAGAAAACTGCACTTCTTCAACCCGACCTAAAACTGACATATAATGTAATACTGACCATAATACACATATATATGTAACATTGTATTTACTATATGATGGGACGTGAGTCCCATTGGGCCTGAAATGGTAAATAAAGTAAAGTCACTGAAAGGGTGTAAAATCACTCGACTAGGCATTAACAATGAAATACAAGACCTTAGCTTGATTTAAAATAGTTTTCTGTCTTAAGTACTACAAGGATAACACAATCTCTCATTTGCTTATGGATAAGTTTTCAACTGACGTCTTCTTATAATTGAATTTTTTGCATTGATTAACCACTAATTAGAAACGGAGACCTATAAAGATAATTGCTTTTACTTACGGAAGACCATTAGGGCTTAATCAAATTATATTCTGTTTATTTATTTGTGATTTGATATTTCATACAAATCCACCAGGACACTAACTACCATTGCCTAACCAGTTATTTTTTACTTGCGATACCTTTCAGTTTGATAAGGGTCAAAGTCTCATTCGCCATTTCGTACGAAAAAAGTAAATTGGTACGGTTCACATTCGCCTCAATTCGCCACTTTCCACGATTTATAGGATATCCCTTTTAAACAAGCGGTTGCCATCTTTACGTTTCGCTGAACCTCTTTGATGCGCCTCTATTCAATTCTATTGAACCCAAGCCTGCACATTATCTGTCGTTGCGATATTGTTATTGATTTCTTTAATAATCACTTTGTGTACATTCTCGCTTGGATTAACAAAATTTTCTGAAAAATGTAATTGGCGTTCCGTGGCTTTAAGGGAGAGTATAAATGATATCAATGAGAGCATGGAGTTGGTGGGACGATGAAGTTAATGAGAGTATGAACTTAGTGAATGGTTTTTAATGAGGGCACGAAATAGCTAATGATATTAATGGGAGCATGACCTGAATGTGCCGATCCCGTAACATAAAAAAAGTACTTCGTTGGCCTAGCTATCCGATAAATCAGTGAAATAAACTAGTAAGAACACATTTTTGCATGTGATTGACCCTAATGGGCTTCTCCGTATCTTGTAATTACAAGGTAATCAGAATGTTTTATTTTCTTTCATTTGATTGACCCTAATGGTCTTCCGTATTTACTCCTTTTTTCTAAAGTTTTAATAATCAGGTCTTCATTATTCTTTATAAAACTCGAAGAGAGACTTCAAAGTACATGGGTGTTCTCCAGGAGCACCGGAAGCAGTTTTCTGCTAAGGTAGCTAACTGGTAGATCGCGAGCAAACAAGTTGAATGTCTGTGTAGCTAGGTATATGATACCATTGTATTGTACCGGATTCTTTTAAAATTAACTCTTTTAGACTAATAAGTGATGCACAGATAGAGCAAAATAAGTTGAGGATTTTTAAAATTCACATATTGCCCAGTTGAGAACTTTGTGTCTCTTGTACACGGGTGCACATGTGTGCAAGAGGGTAGCTTTGATATCGTTCTGCATCTTTTCATATGTCTGCTTAAATATTCCTTAACTCTACATTTAAATAATAAAGATTATTGGTGAAAATAGTGGCACTATTCCGAGTCTATTCGTATAATGTCTAATTATAGTATTCAAGGCTAGATAATACTAATGGTCGTATAACCATCTGAATGTTGATTAAAAGCCGTTAAGCCCAGCATTAATATAAGTCATCAACTTGCCATTTCCCTCTTTTATTATAGGAAACGGCGCGAAAAGTTAATTGAGACAAGATTAGCGACAAGTTGAAACGAACTTGATGTTGGCATCGTTATATATTTTATATTTTACCGGTCTCAGATTATATCAGCTTTTTAAAAAGACGTCTTATTCTTTGGCGCAACGATGAGTTTTACTGTTCATATGTGGTCGACATTGTGTCTACATTGGTTGATTTTGTATGAAAAACAAAAGGCCCACCAAGATGATAATTTCAAGCCGTTACTTTTCTCTTTACACAGGCTTGACACAATCGGCCATGTCATTAGATCCATAAAAAATAATTCGAATTAATTATAATATACCTATAATATTATCTATAGACGTGAGACTGGGCTACAGTGTCTTGTGTATTTATTGAGTGTATTTATTAGAATTCAATAAATACATTTATTGAAAGGCTTGACCTTGGCTACTACATGTATATCAGTAGATTTGTTCGGTTTCTTCTTTAATGATTTGAACCCCATGAAGCTTTTCTTAGAAATGGAATTTATAATTTATCAAAGTTAAAACAACTAGTATCTCAAGCGTTATCGAGTAATTAAAGCACAACCAGCAATGGCAACAGATTACATTGCTTAGTACAAACAGAAAGTATTTACTTCTAAATAACAGGATACCCAAACGATGTATTAACCATGGCAATCAAAGATTCCAATTAAACCACAACCATTAAGATACATTTGATCCAATTTAATTTATTATAGTTTGAGCAGTACAGGTTGTAGCCAGTGAATATCAGTGAATATTACTTACATTAATTAGTCAATGACTATTACTTACATTAATTAGTCAATGACTATTTGGTGTATTAAACGTAGACATAATATAGAATAGATTACAGAATATAAATATCAATCAAATTTACATTATAATTAAATGCATACATAGATCCATTCACGTTTGGGGTTTATTGGTTATGTGTGCTATAAGCCACGGTGGCTAAGTGGGTAAGACGCTGGCTCTCTAGTCTGGAGGTCGCGTGTTCGATCCCTGTATTGGCCGAGAAAGTTCATTGGGATTTTTCGACCTGGTTTCACCTTGTCAGTGGTGAGGGCCTGACGAGGACAGCTGTGTAGTCGTTCGAAAGGGTCGAAAAGCCAAGGTTCCGTGTATACATTTGCGTGCACGTAAAAGATCCCTTGGCAGTTGGAATTCGATATACGAGTAGGAAAAAGTGCCGCTGCCCAGGCAAACTGTGTTCATAACATGGTGTATGCACGTCTTCATATGCCCAGTACAGGAACAGAACAGTAGAACGTTAAACCTCATTGAATTTCATTTTATGTGTGTTACGGTACTCTTGCACTTACTACTACAACATTATTGGATATTTTTCTAATAAATTCATTTTATAACTTTTCAATATTTTTGCAGTAGGCCTACACCACAATCATTTATTACAATTCAGTAAATTTATGCTAATATCTTGTTTACCGGCAATACTTACTATTTCCTATAGGGTAATCAGATGTCTTCATCATTGGATGATGATAGGAATATATTTATTACCATGTGTAAGATTATTAAATGATTGTTTGTGTATAACATATATTTTCAGATGTCCTTACAAAGTATATATTAAAGAACCAAATGAACCACAAGGTATGTATATGTAAAAATGTTTCAAATCACTGCTTATAAGATGGCTAGTTATTGCAGTTATAAGTTACGTAATCGTCATCTTTAATAGAAGGCTTGATCTCGCTTTGACTCCGTATATCTTAACAAGCCCTTCACGTATTTCGGCACTAATTTTGATTGGGTACAAACCCAGCTTGAGACTGGGAGCCTATCAGATTCCTCGATCATCACGAATACCAAGTCTCTCGTTTTCCAGCTAAAATGTCTACCAGTGATAATTGAGTTGCAAAGTTGAAGGTTCGGTCAATGTTTCCGTGAAGGTCGCTAAGTTTGATTTGAGTGTATTTGTGTCACAACCTCTGATTGTTCGCTGCTGTTCACTTGTCATCGGTAAAGGTAGATAGCGTAGCTTTAAGTTAGTGAATATATGACTACTCTAGCAACGGTTAGATGTTGTAAAACACGAGGTCGTTGCTTCAGGAACATGGGTAATCATGCCTTTAATTGCTCGTCTTAAGTATAATTTTAAGTCTATATTGGGTCGACCAACTTGGATCAAATATTTCTTTCTGGTGAAATTTTACTAATTGTATATTTGATATGTTTTGTTTGTTTGTTATTTTAGGAGATTCTGAAGCCTTTCAAACAGTTCTTACCCAGGTCACAGAACAAATAAACAGGTACATAATCATCCAGATATCAGTTTTTTTTAAAAGGAAATTTAAAGACCATTAACCGAAAGTAAATATCAGTCGGTTGTTATGGTGATTCTGGATGGTAATAGGCATAATTAATCAGTACAAATTACATGATGCGTAGTGATATGGATTCTTGAAATGAAATACCCCAAAATGAAGAGGAGCCACGATGGCTATGTGGAAAAGGCTCTGGCTCGCTAGCCTGGAGGTCGGGTGTTCGATCCCTGCTCGCTAGCCTGGAGGTCGGGTGTTCGATCCCTGCTCGCTAGCCTGGAGGTCGGGTGTTCGATCCCTGCTCGCTAGCCTGGAGGTCACGTGTTCGATCCCTGCATTGGCCGAGAAAGTTCATCGGGATTTTCCAACTTGGTTTCCCCTTGTCAGTGGTGTGGGACGGAGGGCATGCACGTAAAAGATCCCTTGACAGTTGGAATTCGATATAAGAGTAGGCCATAATGCCACTGCCCGGGCAAAATTCTCCTCATGCACACTGGCGTATGCCCATCTTCATTAGCCCAGTCGGAGCAGAATAGTAGGACGTTAACCCCCATTTCATTTCATTTCATTTCCAAAATGAAGACCCGCTACATCCAAGGTATAAGAACACTTCAAAAAGATTCGCCCAATTTAAGTGTTTATTTTGACCTAAATCTAACAGGTTTATTAGCTCTGTTAGATAAACGTACTAAAATGTATTGAAGTTGGCAGTGTTACGTTTATTAAAATTTTCGTATCTGTAACACACCCAGTATGTAGATGATAGAATTGTACTTTCGTTATAAAGATGTGTTCCTTCGGGCATGATTAAGCCATGTATGTGTTTCTCGTATCTAGTTTAGATTACACGGGGTGGACATAATTTCACAAAGTTTAGTTGAAATTTTGCTTACGGTGTCGACGGTGGAACACAAAATCATTTTCCCCTTAACACTGGCTAAGCATATCATCCTGTAAAACAAATCAACAAATAAAAGCCAATGATTTGACGTAAATCAAACAAATCAAGTCATGTGCCGTTCTTGCAGCGCTCTATACAATATTGGAGCTAAATGCAATCTGATTAAAACAGATCTATATTTCGTTTCGTTTTTTTTTATACTTTCGATGGCCTACACTATATGAAGATCTGACCAGTTGTAGTGGAAGGTCGCGTCAGGTGTAGCTTTTGACCTTATGATGTCATACATCGATTAATCAATCAGGGTTGACGTTTCTAGCGGTTTACCCAAAGTTCCGTGCACCTCACCCCAAAAACTCGCCGTAACAGACCGTTTCATTGGTTAATTCCTTACATCACCCAGAACGCGGGTTATATAACAACTCTTTCAGATCCTAGTCTAGTAAAGACAAGTAACTAATAGTTTGAACTATTAAAAACGAAACGAAATAGGATCTGTGATTTAATCAGATTGGGCTAGATGCTTGTGTGTCATCTATCTGCGTGTTTCAATAGTTATATTTTTACCTGCCGTATTCAATAGGATTCGTCATATATTTGTATATACTGAACGCTATTGAACCGGTTTAGATTTATATTCATCTTAGAAAGATTCGACTTTTACAATATAGTAGTTTTCATTGGATTGAATTCCCTCAACTGCTGACCAGAGACTTTAAGAAGTTCAACCCCGGAAAATGTCTCTGAGATTAGTTTCTAATTGATGAATAACTAATTTGTCTAGTTCAAATGGTTTAGTGACATTATGACTTATAGATTGACTTGTCAATGTTCCTGTTCTTACCCTTGACCAAAGGTTAATCTTGTCATATCCGTCAACTACAACTGTTGTGATTAATCGGTTCAACACCCCGGATACCTAAAATATATTATGTTTCACCAACAGATGTATATGGAGAGATCGTTGTGTCATTCAAATTAATTTTAAGATCTTTAAAAGGCTAGATACATTAACGTGTGTTTAAGTCAAAATATGTAGTCTCGTCGTCTACCGCTTTATACATATAGCCTATTTGTTCGTAAAGACTACGTCTGTAATTTATTATGGACGTGTTTGATGGACGGCACACCATAAATTGTTGAAAGACAGAAAGACGAATACAAACAGCCGCACACTTTTGATTTATAACTAGCTTAATGTACACAGTATACAATTTGACTTAGTCATATTTTTTACAGGGTTTTCAAAATGGAGGAATTAAAATCTGAGTTAAGTACAAGATTAACGACGCTGGAGAAAAGATTAGAAAGTAAGAACCCAATTTCTTCTATCTATAAATGTCTTACTATAAATAACCTTAATTTGTTGTTTACCTTGTGTTGGTTTAAAGTAGCATTACTCGGACAAATTTATACAATCTCTTTCTTACTGGCTTTATTTATTGTTTTCATATCCTGTCTTATGTCTATAGATACTTTCCATAGTTATGGTTTAATGTCTAGATTGTAATTGGTATTTATTATTTCTATAAATCAATTGTCCCATTAGATTTCTATTTCCTCTCTTTATATGACCTGATAACACGAAGTAGGTAATCGGTGTCGACTTTGGGTTATTCTGTAAACCAACAAAATATTGAAGTTTGCCGAAAACTTCATTCCGGTGTCTTGATATTGCAAATTGACGCCATTTTCAAAAGTCGAGTACAGAATATATTTAAGCAATGATTTGTCAAATTTAATCAACATTCGAATAGGTGTTCGAAATAATTTTGTATCTGTACTCGATTCTTATTGATACTTAGCAATGTGTGACGTTTCAGTTGAAGGTTTAAAGGTAGTTGAGATCGAGAAATGTAAAAGGGATATATCAGATATAAAAGATCAAATATGGAACGCTCAGAAGAAATACACAGACAAGTAAGTGATCTTATGTATTTATTTATTTGTTTATCTATAAAACGTGTGTACAGTTGTTATACGGTATATATGTTTTGTTTATTATAATATATATATTTAAGAAAATGTCTGATGGGCGTCTAAACGAGAAAGGTTATTTACATCTTCATGTTTAAATAGGTTATGTTCTTACGTATTTTATTCATATAAATGCCTAGCCTCCGGGGGAATCCCAATAAAATCGTAGCTTTTATGCTGTAAAAGATTTTCAAAGCCATGTACTATTTGAATAATCCAAGTTAAAGATGCATTATGTAAGAACTAAATTTGCTTATTGCAGCTCTTCATTCTGGCTTCAAATGTTGTATTAACTATTAATTAGACATTATTAATAATGCGCATGACATGCCCATAATTAACTCTCTAGAAAATCGGATGGGTGAGATGTTAAGTGTCATATTTTCGTTAAAATGGAAAATCGAGACATCTTTAATATCGTAGCAATGGTACTTGACAATCGAGACTATTTAAACCGTTCCTTGTCAAAGCTTTAAATATTGAAGACTTTGCTCAGAATAACTTAAGTAGCTAAGTATCTAACTCAATATCATCCAAAATCTTCAACATTGAAAACACGATTTATTTGTCAAATTAAATCAACATTCATGTTGTGATCTTACCGGAAAAAGATGGACTTTTGATATCCAATATTTAAGACAAATAAACATTTTACCATTGGTACACGAATCGTGTACCATAATGCGCTTCAGACCTAGTTGTATCAAGAGACTCGAGGGACGAGGCTAGACACATTGCACCAAAATCAAACGGCGTATGTAGACTGGAATAACCAGACGCTAGAAATTTGCACTCGCTTGAGACTGCCGGCTTATTTCGCCGAACATAACTGATTTGAAATTGGAGTAAAAACGGAAACCATTGAATGTAAATCAGTTTATATACATTCATATTACAGTATTATATGCGTTGCGACCCACTTTTGTCAATTTCTAGGTCCTAAATGTTAGCGATTTAGCTCCTTTAATTTGACTGAAATTTTCAATATTATCTATATTACATTATCTATTTTTATCTTACACAATGCATCTTTAAAAAAAAGTGCACAAAAAGACCTCTTTAATAAAGTCGTGCTACTATTGATATAGTGAAAACAAATGTTGTTTATATCAGAATAAATGTTTACATCAGCTACCGTTCTTCTTAAAACTAAACTGTTGATAAACCCCAAAAGACTGTAATAAAGTAGTTAAGGCGATAAAGGTTATAATTCTTCCATTAAGTATTTTAACTTCTTCTCCAGAGAAAAGGGGTTTAACGATCGCCATCTAGTTCAAACATTAAATATATTATAATATTAAATTGTTAATGTGACATAAGTATGTTTAAAATACAGATGTGACGTTATCCTTGATGTTGGGGTACGGGTCAATGTGCCAAGCGTACATTATTTATACTAGTTGAAATTTTGGACTCGCGTGACGTATTTCATTGTCTGTATTTTAAGTTGTTTAATGATCTCGGGCTTAAGACATTGCGTAGTATATTAAAACAACAGCTCGCTCTCGACCATTAAACCACACTTAACGTACATATAAATGTACTATAGACTGTTTATAATAGTTTACAAGATTGTTTATGAGTTGTAGGGAAGCGTGTATGGGGATAATTGTGGGTGTTTGAGGGTGCTAACAATTTGGAATACGATTGACTGACAGAAAAAACAAACTCTTCCTGGCGGAATGATATCGTAATTATAGAAAGTTGGTTCGATTACAGTGCGTACGAATCTAACACCTGGCTAAGTAACCCCAACCAGAATTTGACTATTTTCGAGATTCGTCTAAATTATTAAACATATTGCTTAAAACACATTAGAGTAAAATTATGAAGAAATTCAACGTTTACGAGGTCAAGAATGTCTACCTTTTAAGACAAAATACAGGTTGACCGAAACACAAAATAGTTCCAAGAAGGCGGCTGCCACGAGCGACGAGTACCGGGACGCTTTACACTTTTCAAAGTCAAAGTTAGGGATTAAATGGGCTAGGTCTATGTTACACAGACGGGTTTTCTTAGCGCCGAAGTCCCTTTTCTTTAGTTTTTTTTGTTTCTAGTAGAACTGTGCTGTTTTGAACACGTGGTATTGACCGCCGACTGTGCCAGAGTCATTTCTCTGTAGGTGGATTGGTTCTGTTGTTCACATTGAAGACACTATATCTGTATAGCGTCACAAATGTTTCACATAATCTAGTAGAATCAGGGCCAAGAGATGTAAATCCTTCGTTTTTATAGATAAACTATACCTAATTTTTATCGCTTGTAGGCAACATTTAAAGATACTTCCCCGCGTACAAACTGTGTGATTTGATCATAGATCTGGACTAAAAGGATTTACTTCAAATCCAGCTCAAAACTTTGTATTCGTGAGGAGATACTCCAAGCTATAAAAAATCTATTTTTAGAAGGCACGTTTGTCACCTAACTTGATTAGGGGAGGCCCCATTTTTCAGAATGTATTTATCATTACTTACTGTCCATTTACCATACATATTGAGGCCTGAGTAAATCTTTAATTATTTTCTGTCAACTTCTTTTTCCGTCGTTTAATTGCTGAGTCTGTTATACATTTACACCCCTCAATGTTCCCAAAACCGCCTAAATATTCAATCACGAAATAACAACCGCTCCCTAAGTTAAGCTGGCAGACAGTAAGCCGTCGGGTTGCCAGTTAGTAATACCCTGACATTTTTGCCCAGTGCTTGCCTCATGGGTGTTTTTCAGGGAATTTAGTATTTTTCTAGTAAGTTTGAGCGTCTCTAGATTCCATATATACCAAATTTGCCATATTTTTTATTCGAAATAACTACCATATAAATACTTCGTGGGAATGTATTTTTAAGATCCAATATGTATTCAAAATGATTTAATGTCCTGAGCCCAGATAAAGTTACGTTTCTAGAATTTTACGTAAGAAAAGCCTATTTAAATTAGTGGGCAAGATATTAAATCTTCCACGTTGTGTCAGTTGACTTTAATATTGATATTCTCAGAATGTGTTTATCCTACGCCATATCTCTGATTTCCAGAATCTCATCCCTTCACCGTATTCTTAAACTACTAGATCCAGGTAACTTAATGTGTTTGCGCTAATATAAATGCTAAAGTTTCTTCCTTAAGATTAGCTAATTTACAAGATAAATGATTTGTTATATTCGTGTGACTTTATTTCAGATATTTTTAACATGGAAATTTTTAACAAAGGTATAGAATTTACATGCAAAAGGGAATTAAACGGTCTGTTTGATTTGATTTGTATATTAACTTATAATATGATATAATAATTTTGCTAGCCTTGACAATACTCGACGTCGTTATTTTAGTTCCATGAGTGATGAAAAGAAGATTAGTTTGAAAAGAGACGTCCCCACATATCCCAAGGTAAAATACAACCGCATGCCAGCTGCTCCGAGAATGCGGCAAATCCCTTGTGCCATTATTGAAACACTTTGTTCACAAACGTTGGTGTTAATCTTATTGAATTTAACCTGATGATACTCGACTCGGTCAAGTCTTCTCATCTTTATAAAGTAGTTTGGATTGAACCTAATGCGGAACAAGTTAATCTCATTTCAACAAAAACACTGAAAGTCCATTTGTCATGAAACATTATGCTATGGCGTTAGACCACTAACGGAAGTCCTCTGGTTCGATCCAGGTGTTGATCGAGAAAGTTTATCGGGATCTTCCAGTGTGGTAACCCTAGTAAGTGGGACAGGAGAGCATGACAAGGAACAGATGGGACGACAAACCGATGTTCCGTGTACACTATTGGCAGATGGAATACTCCATGCACAGTTCATGGTGTATGACCGTCTTCATTAGCCCGATCGGTGGAGCTAAATAACACGTTAAACCCCATTTCATTTCAATTCCATGAATAAGATAAATTATAAAAGAAATAAGCCTAAAACCGCTTTGTGAACAAAGAATAGCAACTGTCAATATTGTGGCATGGACTGTAAACTTGAACGAATTATTTCTCTTAACTTTTCCTTCCATATTCTTTACTATAGTGAAATTCAGCTATGTTCCAAGATCGACAAAATTAAAATTCCTAGACATAATGTGGCTACGTTTGAGAAGGTAACTGATCAGAACAATGTCCTTATTTCGAGGTTGTCATGATCGAAAATAAAGTTAGCTTAGAATCAAGGACGGGACTTGAGATAATCCTTATTTGATTTCAAGAAATATTTTCCAAACAAAGCTAATATAGGCTTTTCGCATTGATTTCATTAACTGTCAAAATGATATTTGATTTAAAATATCTTTACTACAGTTGTGAAGTGTTGGAAAATATTTGTTGAAATGGCACAGGAGTTTGCCTCGTTCTTGTATGTTGCAAGTTTTTTTATTATTATTTTATCAAATTTTGTTGCTTTTTTTGCATGACAAATTAAATCAGCAAATTCTTTTTCCTTCTCACAACCACCCTGTTCAATATAAAGATTGAATCATTCACCACTCACATTCACGTATCTAAATTTACTCTATTTACGATTGTCATATGCCTATTATCCATAATTTTAATTTCTCAGAACAAGAACAAACCAAGTCCATTCAACAAGGTTTGTTTTTCTTATTTGCGTGTGATGCTGTGATATTAGTGGAGATGGCTGTTTAATTGTTTGTAGTATATTATAGTAGCTGCAATTAACAACATTATATTATCACTGTTCATATCCTTGTTTTGCATGAGCAGCGCATGTGTTGTTTAATTATACTCCTTATTCTTTTCTTCCTTTATTCTAAGTTTATTACCTCCAGACAAGCTAACTGATCTATCCAACAAAAAGATGTAGTAAAGGAATATATTTTTCATAATTCTTTTAAACGAAAGTTCTGAAAGATTGGCTATGAAATTATTATGTTCATTACGGTATAATTCTCTCCACTACTATCTTAAATAATGTCTACATTTATTTTCAGTATACATTATCACAAGAAACTGTGGATTACGTTAAACAACCCACCTTTGATATCTGGCACTGGGAACCTAATGAGGTATGTTACATTAATCTGTTCAATTTGGCTGACAAACACAAGAAATTGCATTGTCACACATATCTCAAATTAAAAAAGTATCCCCATGGGATACGTACTGAGTCCTTTGGTGTTTATATTATATATACATGATATTGATTAGGGTGTAAAGCCGAATCAATCGGCGACAAATAATATTCGGTCGAATGGGTGGATACACTAGGCGCATCCTTCGCCCGATTCACCAGTCGATTGCATCCCCTTCCACGTCACATGATCAAACATGGAGGCGGCCATGTCTTCAAACAATCACGTGACTTCTCGACAAGAGTGGGTATTGGTTAATGAATTCTACAATCGGGCGAACGGTTCATTGCGTTTCAGGGAATTGTCATTAGTAATTGTTAATCTCTAAGATAGACAGTAAGGCCGTATTCCAGATTACTGCTCAAAATAATCACAAATTGGATAAGATAAAGATATTAATTAACGGAATCTGAAATATCTTAGAATCATAAAAATGCAGATAATTTTTATTTCTTTGTTTATTCAAAGTCTTTAAGTTGGTGATTGATATCCTTATAGACATCTGCCGTTCATACAAAATCAGAAGTATGAGGTCATTATGCACAATTTCGCTAAAAGAGGTAAATTTGTTTTTCAGATGTTGAGTCTTTTAGAACATATGTACCATGAGTTGGGCTTAGTTCATGAATTTAATATGAATCCCATCACATTAAAACGATGGTTGGTAAGTTACCATATATTATCTTATAGAAGATAGAAAAGAGTTAATGTATAGTTTATGATATTTTAATTAATAAATCATAAGATTGCACCGTTTATTATCTATTTGTTACTGTTACAACTAATCAATAAAACAATTTATTGAGGTTACATTGTCATTTATGTGGGAAAGAACAAATTCCTGAACGATTTATAAAGTCAGCATAAAATAATATTTGTGCGCATTGCATAATAAGGTCTGTCACTAAGTCAGCTGACATGGTTTACATTCCCCGGTTATACGTGACACGGACTAGGGTCGCCTGTCCAACCTCGTGGTTTTTCTCCAGGTGCTACGGTTTCCTCCAAATGCTAACGATTCCTACGCGCATGCGAATTATTGAAATAAAGCTGAACCATATGTTAGCCCCGAAGTGACCTAGTTCTTGTTGAACGGATGTTAAACCCCATCTCTCTCTCCCGAACTTGGATAAACTAAACCAATACTACCTTATAGTTTTGATTAACTAAATTAGAGACATCGGCAGTCATTAATGACGTCAATAGACAAAAGTTATTTAATATCAATTCGACCTCCATCATAAGTTCAACTATTTTCTTCCTTAGCAACATGATACCATTACTTAGTCTGTCATCAACCAATTGACTATGACATATAATGCCAATTTTACCCGTTATTCCCTCCTCACCATAATAATTATTGACACATGTCAATTAACTATGTTGAAAAATGTCTTTAGTTGTCATTCCTATGATATATCACCAAACAACTAAATAATGAGAAATTGTCGTGCTTGGGACTATACTCACCCTCAACCAATATTTCTCCTATTTGTATTCAATTAATTTGTATAATGGATTTTTTATTACAGCTTTGTGTTCAAGAGAATTACCGCAACAATCCATTTCATAATTTTCGTCATTGTTTCTGTGTGACCCAGATGATGTACGGTATGATACAGCTGTGTACATTATGGGATTTCGTATCCCGGGAGGATCTTGGGATATTGATGACAGCTGCTGTCTGTCATGATCTCGATCACCCTGGTTACAATAATACGTAAGTTTTGTACTTTATGTAATATTTTATTAACATAACAGCATCCACGGTGACTCAGTGAGTAAGACGTTTGGAGGTCCCGTGTTCGATCCCTGCGTTGGCCGAGCAAGTTCATCGTGATTTTCTGCCGTGGTTCCTCCTTGTCAGTGGTGCAGGACAACGTATAGTCGTTCGTGTGGGACGACAACCTGAGGTCCATTGTACACATTGGCGTGCACAAAAAAAGATGCCTTGTTATTTGAAATTCGACATAAGAGTAGGTCGTAACACCGCTGTCCGAGCAGAATTTCTCTCATGGTACACTGGCTTCATTAGCCCAGTCGGAGCAGAACAGAAGGGCGTTAAACCCCATTTCATTTCATTTATTATTAAAATAATAACCATTTCATATAAATGTTCCCCGTCTGTCTGGTACATGACACTCTTTTTTACTTTTAGTAATATCGCGTGATAGTTTAAGTGTCTAAAGGCAATGGTAAGCAGTGAGTCTGACCAATAAAATGCAATCGATAGTATTATGCATCCCTAGCATTAACATCGGCCAAAATATAATAAAGGTCAAGGGGCATCGTCTCCTGAACACCCACCAAGGCTCTGTCGTAGATCCACCAGGGACGCTATAAGACCCCCAACCGCCCTTTTCTTGACCTCTGGTTTACCACTACCCAAGAACCACCCAATCTACTTCATCTGATAAGGGATATTCCTACTAAAGATCTGTGAGTTTAGCAAGGAAGGTTCATATAGTCGATTTTCTGTGTATTTCCATAGACCGTTTAATAGATTAAAAGGCCCTGGGTATTTCCATAGACCGTTTAATAGATTAAAAGGCCCTGGGTATTTGAAATCTTTGAGTATATCCAATAATTTAAATGTCTAGATACATGTGTATTTTCAGGTATCAGATTAACGCTCGTACAGAACTTGCCATTCGCTATAACGATATCTCTCCATTAGAGAACCACCATTGTGCTGTTGCCTTCCAAATCATTTCCAATCCAGAATGCAATATTTTTGCAAATGTAGACAAAGATACTTTTAAACGTGTTCGAGCAGTAAGTAGTACATGATACATTCCTTTATATCAAACTATATGTCTAATATTTTTGTCCTTTCTTTTGACATAATTTTACGTTTTGGGGGATATTAAAATTTGTACGAAACATTGCTTATATTATTGGAGCGGATTTGATTGCCAACAATCCAAGTATAGATTCCCAAATAAACAGGTTTCGCAAGCCGAGTCGATACACATTATCTATAAGCTGTTTTCTGGTGAATGAATGGGTATTGAAGAATCCATATTCACAGATTCATGTATCGGGGATTTAGATGTGTGAATTTGTAGGTGACAAAGAGAATAGATTCTGAATTTGGAAAGGCTCAAGATTTATATCAATTAAACACGTCTTTAGGATCCTGATTAATGTTTTATGCAGTTCACTGAAATCAACATTAGTTGTAGATGATGTAGAACCACTGTATTGGTTATACTAATCATGCTATAATATAACAAAACTGTCGCCGAAGTGTCAAGATGTGGTAATTGATTATATTATAAACAAGGACAGCAACTGTTATTGATTACACAATTTTCTCTTATTATTATAGCTAATAATTGATTTGGTGTCATATTTACTTTATCTTCTTGGGTTTGTCTTTTCAGGGAATTACTATGTTAATTCTTGCTACTGACATGGCTCGTCATGCTGAAATCATGGAGAGTTTTAAAGATAAATTTAACAAAGGGTTTAATTTCAAGAATAAAGAACATCTAGACACGGTAAGAAGAACTGTCAATATTTCAGAATCGATATACAACATGAAATAGGGTGAATTATTGATTCTGTCTAGATAAATACAGGGGCTAGGTCATGCTGTGCATGTATTATGGTTGATTCAATATATTATTGTTCTTCTTGAAAACAAAACCAATTAATAACTTAACTTTGTAACTGGGGCATTATGAGTATACCAAATATCGCGTTTTCCAACTGAAATGTCATCTCGTGATAACCGAGTTGATACATTTCAACGGCTGTAAACCTATTTATTCTATTTATTTCTTTATGTGTTTGTATAACAACATCTGATTGGACAACGTTATTGTTCATGTGTCTGCGATACAGGGAGATAACCTACTTAAAAGTTCGAGGATTTCAGACTATTCTAGCAACGGTTAGATGTTGTAAAACTCGCAGTCGTTACTTCAGCAATCTAATTAAAACACGGGTCCTATTTCGTTTCGTTTTTTATAGTTCAAAATTTCGTTTTACTTGTCTTTACTACACTAGGATCTGGATGCTGTGAGGTATTAGCCAATAAAACGGTCTGTTACGGCGAGCTTTAGGCGTATTTTGCACGGAACTGTGGGTAATCCACTAGTAACATCAATGCTGATTGGTTAATCAAATGTCTGACATCATAGGTCAAAAGGCGCTCGTATGACCTCTGATGCGACCTATCGCTACAACCGCCGGTAAGATCTTCATGTAGTGAAGGCCATCGAAAGTATAAAAAAACCGACACGAAATATAGATCTGTATTTTAATCAGATTGTTATTTCAGGAACATGGGATTTATCTGATCCCGGAAATACCGCTACAAGTGAGATACAGAGCTCTAATCGTCGACATCCGCTTTAAACAAATTAAGGCTTGTACTTGTACTTGTGTTGTAATTTTTGTCCGGACAGCGGCGCTACTGCATACTCTTATTTCAAATGCCAACTGTACGTGCACGCCAACGTATAGGCCTACACTGGGCCTCGGTATTTAGTCCCATCCGAACGACTGTACACTATTCCTTGATAGACCCTTCGTCCTACATCACTGACAAAGGCACTCGGCTTGCGTCGTTCGAAGCGTGTGTAGAATTTTTAGTGCAAAGTTGTCTTTGTTTGAAGAAAATCGGATAAACTTGAAAGAAAAATAGCTTCAGACTTTGAAATATTTGCATGATAAAACATTCTTCAAATGCGTCGTCATGGGCAAAGCCGTTGGTAATCCGGGACCTTGAAAGTAGTTCCCATGGCGGACTTCGTCATACAGGGTACTGGATTCTGCTGAGGTTTGCCGAGTGTGACAAAGGGGAATACGATGGAAAATCTCGAGGATCTTTCTCGCAATCTGTTTCATAGAGATATTCATTCTACATGTGACGTCATATCAACAGGCGTGGATCATTAGCTGGATGGCGGGTGCATTGTTCACATAAAACGTCCTAGCGTAAACTGATCCGAGCAGAATGGCGCCTTTTACTCATTTTATATACCCATTTACACTAAATGGGAAATATATATTTTTTCTGGATATACTTCAAACACCTGTATTTATTTTTCTAATATTTTTTTTTAAAAATGTTCTAGAAGTCACGGACGTGTGTCAAGTATCAGACATAACAACATTTTTCCTTTATAGATGATGTCGCGCTGATTTATGGGTAATATTAATGGGTTTTTTACGAAGTATTTCATCTCCTGTTTGTCACTTTGAGTAAGGAATTCTGGCGGTTATATTTAGACACGAGGTTGGCGTGGGTCATAATACGGTTATTGAGACACTGGTTTGATCGTAAAACTTTAGTCCTCTTAGAAGCTACCAGAAAGTGCTTTGACGTCATTACTCTGTGAGGGGAATTAATGGTTAGATAATTACATTACTACGCTGATTTGATGTTCAAAAATCTACTCGAGTGATAAATACTCTGTTTCTAATGGATTAAAAAACCGAGCTCGTACTATCCAAATAGATTGACACATCATATGAATTTAGGGGTCAATAATCTGAACAACCAAAGAAACATGAATAAATTTGTATAGCTAGAATCACACTTAAGATAAACTCAACTGAAAAATGCGACGTGTGTTGTTCTTGATATTAATTTCGACAATTTATCGATAGAATGACTGTTCTCGAAAAGCAAAAAAAAAAAAAAAAAAAATGCAGATCATGCATATCAACGTTTCGACTACTCCAACTCATGTGACCTCTAAACGTTTCCAAAAAGTTTCAGAAACGGCCAAACATATGCATGGTCTATGCCGGCAGACGTTTAAGATGGTATGGGACGTTATTTGGCATCTAAATCGGATAAAGCAGCGATTCAGATCTGGGATGCGTTAACACGTCAGTCAAAACACCTCTCTCTCTCGTATTATCGTTATGATCTTTCATTCAAATTTTCAAGAAAACGTGTGTCTCTCAAACGGGACTAACAATTGTTTTCTTTGGCGCTACCAGGAAAAAAACGTTGGGTCATTTACTTTCAATTTCACGAATTCTTCATACAGGACACTCTTCGCAAATAACTTTGATAAAATCCTGGTGATATTGCCCATTTGAGCATAAGGAAGAACCCTATTGAATTTCCAATTTTTTCCATCGTATTTTTCGAACGCGTTTTAATTTTATACGCCCATATTTTCATGTGGACGTATTAAGTCGTTACCTTTGTCAACTCGTTGATGTTGTTTGTGGACACGCTAGTCGTCACAATTTTTTACCACTTTTGCCGAATTTTTTGGTTCGATTTTGGTACATATCGGACCGTCATTTCCTCGATTATTGCCCCTGATTATACGAAAATTAACTACAATTTTTATTTCATTTTGATGAAACTTTAACATATAATCACGGATGATTTTGGTGAATTAGTGGTATATAATGTATTACATATACCAAGGATAAATTTGATTTTGGTGCGCATCGGACCTTAACTTCCAGGGTTAAGCCCGTGCATCTTACGCAAAATTTGTAATAAAGTAGTTACACCCAGATGCCTTTTGCCGAATGCTTGTGAAGCATTGGGTTCAAGAGAGGACAGATTATATCGATATTCTGCGTTCCTCAACCTCCCTTTGCCGAATACGATAGAGGCTTAATAATCTGATAATGTTTGTTAACATATAAATCTTTTCTCATTACCAAATTGTGTCACCGCCTTTCGAAGAAAGCAGGGGACTATTAAAATCTCATTAAAATGGGTCTGCCTGTCTATCCGCCCGTCCGTCACACTTTTTGGGACACAATAACTCTCCTTAATTGAGCTAAACTGTTTGCTTGGGCTAAGCAGAGATAAGCAATTTGATTGGTTGATGCTTTGGGACACGATAACTTTGGTTCCAATTAAGTGAGAGTGATAAAACTTGGTGTTAGTTTCACTACTTTGACTAAGTTCGATAATGAGCATTTTCTGCTCGGGGTTAGCAATTTGATTGGTTGATAGTTTGGAACACGATAACTCTCCTTCTAATTGAGGTAGAATATTTAAACTTGGTATATTAGGTGAATGGCTTGATTGAGTTCAATGATTAGCATTATCCGCTAAAGCTAAGCAGAGCGAAGTATTTCCATTGGTCGATGTTTTGGGACAATATCCCTTTGTTCTAGATGTTTGAACTTTGTGTAGATGTTCATTAGATGAATGTCTTAACTGAGTTTGATGATTAACATTTCCCTCTAAAGCTAAGCTGAGCTAAGCAATTCCATTGGACTAGATAACTTTGATTCTAACTGACGGGGAATAATGAAACTTAGTGTAGAGTTCCACTGCCAGATACTTCAAAACCTTGACTGAGTTCGATCGTGAACATGCTTAGACTAAAAATCAGTTTGATTGTTCGATACTGTTCAAAAAGATAAATGTGCAATTAATTAATATGTGTCATTTGTTTATTTTGGGATTGCGGCGGGAGACATCAGCCTCATCGTTTGTTTGTTTTTACACAAATACATTTTATTTCAGTTAAAAATGGTGTTAATTAAGTGTTGTGATATATCAAATGAAGTTCGTCCAATGGAAGTATCAGAACCGTGGGTTGATTGTCTTCTAGAAGAATATTTTAATCAGGTATATATAACGTTTTTTTTTTTGTTTTTTGCTAATGAAGCCAATTATTAAACTACCGTAAACATCCTAAAGCCATGATCAAAGCGCATTTTGAGGCCTGTGGTAACGTGATTAGAGAGCAAATCAAATTTCCGGATAATTAAAGCGGATCAAAATTAATCTGGTCTCACAGACTTTGATTGGTACTTTGATCTAGAGTCGACCAATTACGCTACTTCTAAAGAACAATCCCGGAAGGAAATACTTAATTATGAATGAACTTCAATAAGACTGAGGGCCAAAAGAGACATTTTAATAAGTCTCTCGGGTGTATTTGTGAAAGAATATTCAATATATTTAGAATAATTTTATTTGCAAATATTTATAATTGTGAACAGTCAGACCGAGAGAAAAGTGAAGGATTACCAGTAGCACCATTCATGGATAGAGAAAAAGTAACTAAACCAACCGCCCAAATTGGTTTTATTAAATTCGTCCTAATACCTATGTTTGAAACGGCAGCAAATGTAAGTATCTTGTTAAACAGCTTTAAGATACCAAACAAAAACGGCCCTGTAAACATATAGTAGCCCTTCTTTAAGTGGCATTTATTACCATGCAACGTTTCGACGATGATAGGTGGAAACGTTGCATGTTGTTAAATTAGTAATTGTTATTTCATAAATAGTGTTATTGTGATAAAGTAGTCCATTGAAGCTTCAAAGCAAATCCATATGAACGACGAGTAAAGCTAGTTTTATTTAGAAAATACATACATGTAATTCCATTTATCAACAGTTGATTCCTTTGAAATTGTATCATTTGTCAGAATATTCTAAATAATCTCTAAGGGCAAAACATGATATATTAAGAATGCTTTTAAAGATACATTAAGGTTAAGAGTAAATACTATCCGGCATTCTATAAATCTTTTCAAGAAATATGTTTGTTAACAGTAGTCTAAAAATGTTTCTTGATCTTGAGCTTAAAAATAAAACATGCAAAAGTCATATTTCTCCTTGAAAATAATAAACGACCTTTATAGTAGAGTAAACAACTGTTGTGCATGCTTCTTGTGGCAGAGTCAGTCTTAAATATAGTATAATATTGAATCAATATGGCCTTCAGCAAAATATTCTTCTTAGAGTTGATAGCAGTGAGGTATTTACTAAATTAATATTGCTAATAGCGATATGCTGACGTTATAAGTTGAATAAGCCTGACACTATTATCTGTCTGTCCTGAGGGCACGTTAAAAGTTCGTCTACGAACATGCAATTCCTGTTACCAGTACAAACATATTTGACTAGCAGGAAAACCAACTATATATGATTCAACATGCAATAAACTAAGTTATTATCAACGTTGTTATAGGTGCCTGACACATCTCAGGATTTAGTTTTTTAACAATTATGAATTAAGTATGCGTGGTGTGTCTTGTGGGAAATTCCAAATCCTCCCCGGGTGGTACAAGCTCTAACTACGTCACTGATGGTAGCTGAAAACAAGCACACCAGTTTTATCTCAACTATTTTAGCGACCTAGCTACCTTTTATCATATTGTTAGACTATTATTACTCTATATGATATAATGATAGCATCAGTATTTTACTATATAGAGCTAGCTGTTACAATCTATCTATACCAATATTTTTGACTGTCGTTTGTTTGTCTGTCTGTCTGTCTGTTCAGGGTTGTCGGCTACACTAGAGCTGTCCGGACGCTGAAATTTGTTGTATAAGGGTAACTCGGGCCGGGGAGTAACATAGGCCTGGTGGCGATTGACTACTACTTCCGGTTTCAGCGTTACGCTACTTCCGGTTCAGGGCTATACTGTATATAGAGCTGTCACAATATGACCAATGATGGAATCAGTATTTTATTACAAATAGCTGTATAACAATATGATACAACGATGGAATTAGTATTTTATTCCAAATAGCTTTATAGGAATATGATAAAAGGGTACTGGAAGAATGTCATCATCTTCAATAGGAAGTACCGGAATTCATCAAATGCCCTTTGGACGTGTGTCGATTTCCATTAACTTTGATTCCGTCTTAATACGATGCCTATTAAAATCTCACTTAATAAGAGAGTGAATCCCCGACAAATCCTTTGTTCTATTAACAAAAACTTTTTTATTCCAGTCCAGACAGAAAAATCTTTCAATCCGATTTCTAACGCACAAAACTAATCTTCTTATATTGTAGCTGTTTCCACAAATCGATGACGTGATGGTGAGGCCTTTAAGAGAAGCTAAAGATCGTTATGAAGAGATGAAATCACAGGAAGACAATCTTAAAGAGGTTTGTAAATACCCAATCTTAAAATGAAATGACAGTTTTTCATCTAGATATTATATCTGCCTGAAAGAATACTTCGATTTATATCTTTAGACAAAATCTGGGACTCGATGCCAAACGATTGTCTCGGTGAAATGGTGAAAAAACGAAATTCATTTTAAGCTAGTATAAAGGAACACATGCCGTTTTGGAATGCAAACCGTTACATGTCTTGTGCTTGTTGTTCTTGGTTGGCGACGCTCTTCCAAAACAATCCTAAGGCTCCACAAATTGAAGTACATGTACAGTCGACATGAAACTTGGTATGGTTTTTCCTTGCACAATTGCGTATCAATTGTTGGACTTCGATTTAAGCATGACGTTATCGCCGCCATCTTGGATTTGTGACGTCATGCTCGGTTCCTCGTCCATGTACATCTTAATAAAAAAATACACTCTTTCTGACGTCACGATTCATTTAAGTAATATTTTGTGGAAGTACAATGTAAGTTAACTTGACTTGACGTTGGGCTTAACGTCGGCTTCCACCTAGGGTGATATCGCAGACCATTGTCTCCTGGGAAATTTACGAGAGGAACCAAAAAAAAAAAAAACCAACAAAAAAACAAATCCCCATCTACTTGAAATAATTATATTCTTACCATGGTTTCCTTTACGGAACCGAATAGCGTGTGTAATTTGGGAAGATAAAGTAAGCTTACTCCCAATAGAAAGATCTGGCAGTACAAAAATCATATATTTACGTACCTTGCTTTATAGATGTTCGGGATGGTTAAGACGCTGGCTCACTAGGCTGGAGGTCGGGTGTTCGATCCCTGCATTGGCCGAGAAAGTTCATCTGGATTTTCCGACGTGGTTTCCCCTTGTCAGTGGTGCAGAACGGAGGGCCTGACAAGGACAGCTGTCTAGTCCTTCGGATGAGACGAAAAACCGAGGTCCCGTGTATACATTGGAATGCACATAAAAGACCCCTTGGCAGTTGGAATTCGATATAAGAGTAGACGATAGTGCCGCTGCCGGGGCAAAATTTCCCTCGTAGCACACTGTATGGCGCAATCCCGTCTTCATTAGCCCATGTTAGGTGCAGAACAGTAGGACGTTAAACCCCATTTCATTTCATTTCATTTCATTTATAGATGTTCTTTCTAGTGTAACCAGTTCTCCCATGCTTACTACATTATGCATTTAACATACATGTATAAATCAAATATTTCCTAGTATAATCTCTATCATCAAGAAAATATTCTACGAATACTAGTCTAGATACGTTGTCAACATTTGAAAAAAATAGGCCATTGGCTAGATTATCCGGTCTTTTACATTAACATAAACAAAGTCTAAGGGAGGTAACTACTCCTAAAACAAGATGTTGACGCCCATGAAATTAATTTAAGCATGCCATTTCAGAAAATCCATTTGATTGCATTGCCATTTCAATATCCAACACTCTTATTTTTTTTTGTAACATTTCTCTCTTCATGGGCCATATTTATATTGTTTTAATTCTTCAAATAGTGACAACGTTCCCAGACCCTCCGTACGTTAAAGACTAGAAGGTTCTGGGTGACCGAGACTAGACACAGAATATAATTATTGTGAGCTAAGGGTTCTCCTCGGCACACGACCACCATGGTTCCCGATTATCTTAGGAATTTATTATATATTAAACATAAACATGAACTTTAAAATGTACCTTTCTTTCAGTAGCCAGGGAGTAAAGCTCAGTAAAACACTGTGAAATGTGCCTGAAGAGTTTAAACACAGATAAAACATATCAAAACTACAGTATCAAAATGATACCCGAACGAGATTTCAAATAGAACAATTTGTTTTATTTGCCTTGGTGCATTTTATTGAATCCAAATGGCATACTTATAACAATTGTAAGATCTCTTGAATGTGTAGTGAGGAAGGGAACTGGTTGATGAGGTATTATATTTGTTATCTATAGATGAACTATATTATATAGAAATTTTGTATAAAAAAAATCAAATATTACACACTGTACTTTAATTGGTCAAAAGTGTTTTCAAAAATAGAGTATTTGTAATTTATTTTTAAATCATTCAACACTCAAAATGATGATAATGTGATAATTTCATTTAAATAGAATAATCTATTTTATTAATTTTACATAATTTTGTCATCATTTTAGATTTATTTCTTGCATTTTGTTGTTATGTGTATTGTAGAATACATTTCCCCACGACACTCCACTTTAGCAAATAATATATTTATCAATAAACAATAGATAATGCATTTATTATTTAAATTGTCATTCTATGCATAATGCTTTATTTTATAAAGTGTTATATTTTGTATATACACTATTTTAACATAATGTTAATTATATCTTTTAGAATTCTCTATAAAAATGTTGTGACTTTGCTGGACCTTATTAGTCATTCATAACAAATCGATTATTACCGCAATCCTTTTGAATGCCCTCGGGTGCATCGATGTGTGAATCCCATTCTTCCGGAAAATCTTTTACTGTTATGTCTACGAGCTTAATGATTACAAGCTTGATTGACAAAATTTAAAAAAGAAATCACAATTGCTACTTCCATGGTTTACAATATGAAGAAACGTGCTACTTCGATACTTTGAGTATTGGCTCAGAGATTGTTCAGACAAGACTGGTTATTCTGTATTGCTATTTACAAGAGAGATTTTGGGAAAATGGATAAGCTTTGTTAATCGGGATATGACCTGACCTCCGTTTGTTAAATGTACTTCTGCCTTCTCTGTTCCACGTAAAGATTGGATGGGTTCAACCGTAAGATTGACATATTTTGATTGACAACCCTAACGCGATTTGTGCAATAAAAGATATAAATATTTATTACATGTATGTTATTAATCCCTTGTATTTTCTGCCCCATACATAGTCCTAAAACAACTCATTAACCATGGCTAAACCTGCTGTGGTAGTCTGGTGTTTTTGGTTAACTGTGGTTAATATGTGTTTTTGATTAACTCTTGTTAATGTTTCTATGTTGATGTAAGATGAAAACAGCCTGCGTATGTTGTTATAACTTGATACAGTCGTAACGTCATAGCTAGTTCTCCTCTTATGTCAAAGGAAATTTAATGATGTGGGCTTTAACGTCCTACTGTTCTGCACCGACTGGGCTAATGAAGACGGGCAAACGCCGTACAGTGTGCTGTGAAGAAAATTTTCCCCGGCCAGCGTCGTTGCAGCGTTGCTACGGCCGACTCTTTCCAACCTTCAGGGGTTCTATTACACACACGGGACCTCGGTTTATCGTTCCATCAGAACGACTAGACGTAATTTCTTGCCAAGCGTCCAATACTTCACCACTGACACGGGGATATCAAGCCAGAAGATCCCGAGTAGCTTTCTCGGCCAACACCGTTAGCGAACCCGATACCTCCTATTGCCGAGGGATTAGTTTCTTATTTTATTTATTGTAAACTTACTAATCACTTATAATTTTATTTTTATACGTCAAACGAAATGTAAGGCAATACTGTTTATATGTATAATTATGGTGGCATGATTATCGATATATCGTGGTGCATCCGGTCGAAGATGGAAGCATGTAATTATTATAGGAGAGGTATAGACTCTTGTACCCCCCCCCCCCCCCACGTTAACTTCTTGTAAAAATATGGTTATAAACATAATTAGCATTCTTAATTTTCGGAAATGCACAAAACTGCAAATGTTCACGTCATATGCACCGAACGTCAGATGTAAACACGTATAACATACATCTGCTTCTCATGGTCACTCAAGTATTAAACGCCTATTTAACAAAACTCCATCGTTCTTAGTTTGATTTATTAAGCATGCGTTTAACTAACAAGCGGTTGCCATGCAAGATACGCCCACATTTTGCAAGAGATGGACAGAGAACAAGCTAAAAAGTCGATTTTTTTTGTACAATAAGGGGGCATAATCGAGAGAGAGAGAGAGAGAGAGAGAGAAATGGGTTTAACGTCCACTCGACACAAACTAGGTCATTTCGGGACTAACATATGGCATAATCCAGAGAGAGAGAGAGAGAGAGAAATGGGGTTTAACGTCCACTCGACACAAACTAGGTCATTTCGGGACTAACATATTTCATAATCCAGAAAGTGACAGTCCGATATTGCCGACTATCGAAAGGAACCACCATCTTTGGATTATAAACATACATTTCAAGTTTCATCACAATCGGATAAATAGTGTAACCTCTTGAGTGTCCACGAGCTAAAACCCGAATCTTTGTACAATCAGGGGCTATAATATATGGAGTTACGATCCGATACATGCAAATATCGAAAGAAACCAATACCGTTATTTCAAGTTTCGTCCAAACCGGATAAAAATTGTGAGATGTAGAGTGTCCAGAAACAAAATGTGGACGGCCGGACAGGGACGACGACAATATTATCCCAATATCATCCTGGACTGTGGGGTGGGAGGTCTCCCCCGGCTTTGGAAATTTTTGAAAACACGTGGTCTCTATAGCGTCAATTTGGCGTATATCTGCAGCGGTAACACGACGACCTGACATACTGGACTGTTCGGGAGCCTATGGTTCATACCTATATATTAATTCATACCGATGACCGATGCAACTGAAGAATAATAAGCTCGAAATGTAAGTATGATCTGGCGGAAATTATTTTTTTTTAAAATTTAATACCTCCTCAAGAGAAGAATTATAGCACCATGGGTCTTTCGTCAGACGTGGAGAGCGGGCCAGTGATTTCGATTGCCACATCCTACGTATGACCCATGCATCTTTTCTTACTATATATTTTAGTAGTCTTGTGATCGTCTAGAATTTGTCTCTGGTTGTCTTCGCCTCCCCTTCACGTTGTGTATTTACTTCTTATTATCCATCTCAGTTAGTTAAGACGTTTGTCTTACCAGGAATAATAATGCAACAGTTCGCTTTTAAATTTTATATATCATAGCTGCTTACATATGGTACAATGCATAATAAAATAAAATCATTCTCACAAACCCCATCCAGCCTGACTCGCTGGTGCGAGTCTGCTGGTAGAAATTGCTTCATCTTTTCCCTTCTAGAATCAAGCTGTCTAGGAACTAAGATGGTAATCTCTCCGGAATCCAATCAAATCTGGCTTAAAAGTTTGCCATGAATTCTTTTATAGGGCCTATGGACATCACGCACAGACTAGGCTATTCATGATTCTGAACCTGTCCAATTACTGATATAATTGGTCCCTTAAACCAAATGATGCAATGGGTAAAATTCCAATCACGTGTAATCTGGTAACATGTTGCTGACACATAGAACCAGCTATGTTTTGGTTCTATAACTCTTTTTTATCTAACAATATGCCACTCATTCGCTTACTTGATTTAAGTACATATATGTGAATCTAATAATTTGCCAAAGAAACATTAAAATGTATTTGTATTAAATAATTTGTTGAACTATTTAATGTCACTAAAATCACCAGCAAAATTTTCACAGATAATGGCGATGTGAAAAAGAAAGCGAATATATGCCAGTCTGGAGACCAGGCAAATTCTAGTAAGCTCGAGTTTTATGGGAGCTGGGAGAGATTGCTCACACCGACGGGCCGTATAGCGACAAAACAATGGATCCTAACTCAGATTCAAATTTTCAACAAACAAAAAATGTATTTGGTACAATGATGGACATCTCTTCAGTGATACCTGGCACGCCTTTTTGCCCAAATTGAAACTTTCTGAGAGCACATCTTTTTATCTGTCACAGCACGGTTTTCCTCCAAGGCTCTGCTCTAATCACACGTAACAATAATGTTGACCATGGAATTTTAAATCTGTATTAGTGTAGAATAACATATTTAAACTGGTTCAAATTCAAGCTAAATTCAAACAAAATCTTCTATTCCATCATTGAATGTCAAAAAATGTTATTTAGTTTACAAACTTCGCTGATGCGTAAATTCTTTGTAAGATAGGTTGCCAGCCAACGAAACATACGCCCACAGCAGCTAAATCGTCTGGGCAGTCAACAAGAGTTGTCGCATATTTTCACTTTTTCGGTAATGAAACATTTATAATACACTAAAATCTGATTAAGGGTAACAACTCATTAAGTATTTATCAGAATTTGTTTGGTTTTTATAAAGATTTAGCTGTTCAAGTTATCAAAAGACCTTAAACTCTGTGTATCAATCTGAAGTCAATCGGATATTAACTTTAGCCTCTAGAACGTCCACAAGATTTTTTGAAGTGATCAAGGGTTTTAACTCTGGCAGTAATTATCGGAAATCGCGGAAAATCAATATGCTTCTTCATCTCATGACCTTAAACAATGTGTATAAATTTAAAGTCAATCGGATATTAACTTTAGCCTCTAGAACGTCCACAAGATATGTGGAAGTGGTCAAGGGCCATAACTCTGGCAGTAATTATCGGAAATCGCTGAAAATCATGACCTTAAATACTGTGTAAAAATTTAAAGTCAATCGGATAATAACTGTAGCCTCTAGAGCGTCCACAAGCAACTGTGGACTTAAAGGCCGTCGTCCTTCTTGGCATAGGCCATACTCGGTATTCCCAGTGGTATAGTTCCGTTCTATAGCACTGGGGATACTGTGTATGGACATACGCTAACAGAAAGATGTTACATGAGTCGTGTTTAGGTCAATCACTTTGTATTCATATTATAAGATGGATGTTGCATAACAAAACAAATTATTTTAATATGTTTTATTGACAACTATTATACTGTGTTTGTGTAATAACACAAAAGATTCATATTAAATATACATTATATGATGTTTCGCGCCCTTACAAAAGGCGAAAGTTCTTTATCACCATTTATTTTTGGAGCCGCTCCATCAAAACCTGGAAACATACAAACATACAGTTAAATAATGTTGGTATTGGCAAACAAGATTTTTAGATATTAATATCAGTCCAAATACATTACAATGACCACTGTCTAAATCGCAAAGCAGGAAAATTGCACAACTAAACATATAGACTAAAACATTACAATTCACAAATTATCAAGACTATAATTCCAAATTTTTAAGTTTACCCAAGGCAGTTAGCAATGCGAACCTGACTGACACTTGACAATAATAGCAACGTTGTCAGGGTTTGCATACCTTGCCTTGTGCACAACATCGAGATATTGCAATTATAAAACCAGTGTAGGTAAATGTGTCTCAACATGGAGTACATAGATGGACCCACCCAAAGCTATTTTTAGTTTTTCTCCTCCTTTCTCTTTTTCCCCCCTTTTGCATGGCGATCCTTCGTCGACTTTTTGGTGTAGAGTTGAAGAAAAAGGTTTGATTATACATTTTCTGCCAGGTTTTGGTGAATATTCATTATTTTGAGGCGGAAGGATACGAGAGTTTTAGAGGTTGGTTGGGCTGAAATGTAGGGCGGAAAATTGCATGTTTTTTTCTCTCTGCTTCCAGTTTGTGTATCTCATGTTTTTCATGAAGAACCACATACGAGGTTTTGGACAAGAGGTTGCCACATGTTGCTCCGTCTGTGGTAGAAAGCGTTCTACCCTACAAAAATTTGGGGAAAGGTTAGAGCGTGTCTAAGAGACGAGAATTAACATTAAAGTTAATGAAGATATTTCATTGTTCTGTGGCCAGATAAAATGTCGGGCAATATAAACATGATCCAACTAGTCGTCATGAAATATTCATATAAATGGTTATAATGTTACTAAAATAGCATGTCTGAATAGTTTGTAAAAAAATCAGACATAACGCCTGTCTGTAATAATTAAGAATAACTGACAAGCTAATTCATTTCACTACATGCATTTATAATATGCATTTATAAACAGTCTTGGTTTCGAATCCCCGGTTGTACGTGCCAAGGAGTAGGGGTTTC